ACTCACTCACCCACTCACCCTCTCACCCATCCACTCACCCACTCACCTACTCACCCACCCACTCACCCACCCACCCACTCACCCACCCATCCACTCACTCACCCACCCACCCACCCACTCACTCACCCACCCACTCACCCACCCACCCACTCACTCACCCACTCACCCACCCACCCACTCACTCACCCACCCACTCACCCACTCACCCTCTCACCCATCCACTCACCCATTCACCCACTCACCCACCCACCTCTCACCCACCCACCCACTCACCCACCCATCCACTCACTCACCCACCCACCCACCCACTCACTCACCCACCCACTCACCCCACCACCCACCCACTCACCCACTCACCCACCCACCCACCCACTCACCCACTCACCCACCCACTCACTCACTCACTCACCTACTCACCTACCTCCTCACCTACTCACCTACTCACCTGCTCACCTACTCACATACTCAACTGCTCACCTACCTACTCACCTACTCACTCACCCACCCACTCACCCACTCACCCTCTCACCCATCCACTCACCCACTCACCTACTCACCCACCCACTCACCCACCCACCCACTCACCCACCCATCCACTCACTCACCCACCCACCCACCCACTCACTCACCCACCCACTCACCCACCCACCCACTCACCCACCCACTCACCCACCCACCCACTCACTCACCCACCCACTCACCCACTCACCCTCTCACCCATCCACTCACCCACTCACCTACTCACCCACCCACTCACCCACCCACCCACTCACCCACCCATCCACTCACTCACCCACCCACCCACCCACTCACTCACCCACCCACTCACCCACCCACCCACCCACTCACCCACCCACTCACCCACCCACCCACTCACTCACCCACCCACTCACCCACTCACCCTCTCACCCATCCACTCACCCACTCACCCACTCACCCACCCACCCACCCACTCACCCACCCACTCACTCACCCACACACCACTCACCCACCCACCCACCCACTCACCCACCCACTCACCCACTCACCCACCCACTCACCCACCCACTCACCCACCCACCCACTCACCCACCCACTCACCCACCCACTCACCCACCCACCCACTCACTCACCCACTCACCCACCCACCCACTCACCCACCCACTCACCCACTCACTCACTCACCCACTCACTCACTCACCCACTCACTCACCCACTCACCCACTCACTCACCCACTCACCCACCCACCCACCCACTCACTCACTCACCCACTCACCTACTCACCCACCCACCCACCCACCCACTCACTCACCCACTCACCCACTCACCCACCCACTCACTCACCCACTCACTCACTCACCCACTCACCCACTCATCCACCCACTCACCCACCCACTCACTCACTCACCCACTCACCCACCCACTCACCCACACACTCACTCACCCACTCACCCACTCACCCACCCACTCACTCACCCACCCACCCACTCACTCACCCACCCACCTACTCACTCACCCACCCACCCACCCACTCACCCACCCACCCACCCACTCACCCACCCACCCACTCACCCACTCACCCACCCACTCACTCACCCACCCACCCACTCACTCACCCACCCACCCACTCACCCACTCACCCACTCACCCACCCACTCACTCACCCACCCACCCACCCACTCACCCACCCACTCACCCACTCACTCACCCACCCACTCACCCTCCATGTCTCCAGATAAGTTGGAGCAGTTCTGGGGAGTGAATCGTAAACTGATGGAGACCCAGGGGGAGGAACACTTCCGATACATCCCCTTCCGCATCTACCAGGTACCTCACCTACCCTCTCACCCACCTACCCTCTCACCTACCCTCTCACCTACCTACCCTCTCACCTACCCACCCACTCACCTACCCACTCAACTACCCACTCAACTACCTACCCACTCACCTACCTACCCCACTCACCTACCCTCTCACCTACCTACCCACTCACCTACCCACTCACCTACCCTCTCACCTGCCTACCGACTCACCTACCTACCCACTCACCTACCCACTCACCTACCCACTCACCTACCCTCTCACCTACCTACCCTCTCACCTACCCACCCACTCACCTACCCACCCACTCAACTACCTACTCACCTACCCACTCAACTACCTACCTACACACTCACCTACCTACCCTCTCACCTACCTACCCTCTCACCTACCCACTCACCTACCACTCACCTACCCACTCAACTACCTACCCTCTCACCTACCTACCCTCTCACCTACCTACTCACTCACCTACCACTCACCTACCCACTCACCTACCTACCCACTCACCTACCTACCCTCTCACCTACCTACCCACTCAACTACCTACCCATTCACCTACCTACCCACTCACCTACCCACTCACCTACCCACTCACCTACCTACCCTCTCACCTACCTACCCTCTCATCTACCCACTCACCTACCACTCACCTACCCTCTCACCTACCTACCCTCTCACCTACCCACCCACTCACCTACCGACTCACTCACCTACCTACACACTCACCTACCCACTCAACTACCCACTCAACTACCTACCCACTCACCTACCCTCTCACCTACCTACCCACTCACCTACCTACACACTCACCTACCTACCCACTCACCTACCTACACACTCACCTACCTACCCTCTCACCTACCTACCTGCTCAACTACCTACCCACTCAACTACCTACCCACACACTAACCTGCCCTCTAACCTACCCACTCACCTACCTACCCACTCACTTACCCACTCACCTACCTACCCACTCAACTACCTACCCACTCACCTACCTACCCACTCACCTACCTACCCACTCACTTACCACTCACCTACCTACTCATCTACCTACCCACTCACCTACCTACACACTCACCTACCTACCCACTCACCTACCTACATACTCACCTACCTACCCTCTCACCTACCTACCTGCTCAACTACCTACCCACTCAACTACCTACCTACACACTAACCTGCCCTCTAACCTACCCACTCACCTACCTACCCACTCACTTACCGACTCACCTACCTACCCACTCAACTACCTACCCACTCACCTACCTACCCACTCACCTACATACTCACTCACCTACCTACCCACTCACCTACCTACTCACCTACCTGCCCACTCATCTACCTACCCACTCACCTACCTACCCACTGATTTGCCTACCCACTCACCTACCTACCCACTCACCTTCCTACACACTCACTTACCACTCACCTACCTACTCATCTACCTACCACTCAACTACCTACCCACTCACCTACCTACCCACTCAACTACCTACCCACTCACCTACCCTCTCACCTACCTACCCACTCACCTACCCACCCACTCACCTACCTACCCACTCACCTACCTACCCACTCACCTACCTACCCACTCACCTACATACCTACTCACCTACTCTCTCACCTACCTACCCTCTCACCTACCTACCCTCTCACCTACCCACTCACCTACCACTCACCTACCCACTCACCTACCTTCTCACCTACCTACCCTCTCACCTACCTACCCACTCACCTACTCACCCACTCACCTTCCTACCCACTCACCTACCTACCCTCTCACCTACTTACCCACTCACCTACCTACCCACTCACCTACCCACTCATCTACCTACCCACTCACCTACCTACCCACGCACCTACCTACCCTCTCACCTACCTACCCACTCACCTACCTGCACACTCACCTACCTACCCACTCACCTACCTACACACTCACCTACCTACCCTCTCACCTACCTACCTGCTCAACTACCTACCCACTCAACTACCTACCCACACACCTACCTGCCCTCTAACCTACCCACTCACCTACCTACCAACTCACCCACTCACCTACCTACCCACTCAACTACCTACCCACTCACCTACCTACCCACTCACCTACATACTCACTCACCTACCTACCCACTCACCTACCCACTCTCCTACCTACCCACTCAACTACCTACCCACTCACCTACCTACCCTCTCACCTACTTACCCACTTGCCTACCCTCTCACCTGCCTACCCACTCACCTACCTACCCACTCACCTACCTACCCACTCACCTACCCACTCACCTACCTGCTCATCTACCTACCCACTCAACTACCTACCCACTCACCTACACACTCACCTACCCACTCACTCAACTACCTACCCACTCACGTACCTACCCACTCACCTACCTACCCACCCACCTACACTCTCACCTACTTACCCACTCACCTACCTACCCCACTCAACTACCTACATACCCACTCACCTACCCACTCACCTACCTACCCTCTCACCTACCTACTCACTCACCTACCTACCCACTCACCTACCTACCCACTCACCTACCCACTCACTTTTCCACTCACCTACCTACCCACTCAACTACCTACCCACTCACCTACCTACCCACTCACCTACCTACTCACCTACCTGCCCACTCACCTACCTGCCCACCCACCTACCTACCCACTCACCTACCCACTCTCCTACCTACCCACTCAACTACCTACCCACTCACCTACCTACCCACTCACCTACCTAGCCACTCACCTACCCACTCACCTACCTACTCACTCAACAACCTCCCCACTCACCTACCTACCCACTCACCTACCTGCCCACTCACCTACCTACCCACTCACCTACCCACTCACCTACCCATTCACCTACCTACCCACTCTCCTACCCTCTCACCTACCCACTCACCTACCTACCCTCTCACCTACCTATCCTCTCACCTACCTAACCACTCACCTACCTACCCACTCACGTACCCACCTACCTACCCACTCGCCTACTGACGTACTTACCTACTCACCTACCCATACACTCAACTTTAACAACCCACCCACTCACCTAAACACTTACCCACAAAGCTACCCACTCACCAGCCCACCCACTCACTTACCTACCCACCCACCTACTCACTCACCTACCTACCCACCTACCCACCCACCTACTCACCTTCCCACCCACCTACTCACCTACCTACCCACCCACCTACTCACCTTCCCACCCACCTACTCACTCACCTACCTACCCACCTACCCACCCACCTACTCACTCACCTTCCCACCCACCTACTCACTCACCTACCTACCCACCTACCCACCCACCTACTCACTCACCTTCCCACCCACCTACTCACTCACCTACCTACCCACCTACCCACCCACCTACCCACTCACCTACCCACTCACCTACCCACTCACGTACCTACCCACTCACCTACCCTCTCACCTACCTACCCACTCACCTACCTACCCACTCAACTACCTACCCACTCACCTACCTACTCATCTACCTGCCCACTCACCTACCTACCCACTTACCTACCCTCTCACCTACCTACTCAACTACCTACCCACTCACATACCCACTCACCTACCCACTCACCTACCCACTCACCTACCTACCCACTCAACTACCTACCCACTCAACTACCCACTCATCTATCTACCCACTCAACTACCTACCCACTCACCTACCTGCCCACTCACCTACCTACCCTCTCACCTACCTAACCACTCACCTACCTACTCCCCTACCCATTCACCTACCTACCCACTCACCTACCCTCTCACCTACCTACCCACTCACCTACCCACTCACCTACCTACCCTCTCACCTACCTACCCTCTCACCTACCTAACCACTCACCTACCTATCCTAACACCTACCTAACCACTCACCTACCTACCCACTCACGTACCCACCTACCTACCCACTCGCCTACTGACGTACTTACCTACTCACCTACGCATACACTCAACTCTCCAACAACCCACCCACTCACCTAAACACTTACCCACAAAGCTACCCACTCACCAGCCCACCCACTCACTCACATACCCACCCACTCACTTACCTACCCACCCACTCACTTACCTACCCACCCACCTACTCACTCACCTACCTACCCACCTACCCACCCACCTACTCACCTTCCCACCCACCTACTCACTCACCTACCTACCCACCCACCTACTCACCTTCCCACCCACCTACTCACTCACCTACCTACCCACCTACCCACCCACCTACTCACTCACCTTCCCACCCACCTACTCATTCACCTACCTACCCACCTACCCAACCACCTACTCACTCACCTTCCCACCCACCTACTCACTCACCTACCCACCAACCCACCTACTCACCTTCCCACCCACCTACTCACTCACTTACCCACCCACCTACTCAACTACCTACCCACCAACCCACCTACTCACTCACCTTCGCACCCACCTACTCACTCACCTACCCACCCACCTACCAGCCCACCCACTCACTTACCCACCCACCTACTCACTCACCTACCCACCCACCTACTCACTCACTTACCCACCCACCTACTCACTCACCTACCCACCTACCCACCAACCCACCTACTCACCTGCCCACCCACCTACTCACTCACCTTCCCACCCACCTACCCACCCACCTACCCACCCACCTACTCACTCACCTACCCACCCACCAACCCACCCACCTACCCACCCACCTACTCACTCACCTACCCACCCACCTATTCACACACCTACCCACCCACCTACCCACCTACCTACTCACCCACCTACCCACCTTCCCACCTACTCACTCACCTACCCACCCACCTACTCACTCATCTTCCCACCCACCTACTCACTCACCTACCCACCTACCCACCCACCTACTCATCCACCTACCCACCCACCTACCCACCCACCTTCCCACCCACCTACCCACTCACCTACTCACTCACCTTCCTACCCACCTACCCACCCACCTACTCACTCACCTTCCCACCCACCTACCCACCCACCTACTCACCCACCTACCCACCTTCCCACCCACGTACTCACTCACCTACCCACCCACCTACTCACTCACCTACCCACCTACCCACCCACCTACTCACTCACCTACCCACCCACCTACTCACTCACCTACCCACCAACCCACCCACCTACCCACCCACCTACCCACCCACCTACCCACCCACCTACTCACCCACCTACCCACCCACCAACCCACTTAACCGCACTTTGCCCCCTCTAAGCCCCTTCGCGAGCTGCCTGGGGCCAGCTTTAGCTTTGGTGTCTCCACCCACTCCACCCACCACACCCCCCCCACCACCCCCCCACCACCCCCCCACCACCACCACCCCCCACCACCAACAGGCGGACAGTGAGCGCCCTTTCATCCAGAAGCTGCTTCGCCCGGTGTCACCAGATGGCACTGTCCTCACACTCAATCACCTGGTGCAGGCTGTCAATCACCACAGACAACACACAGGTGGGTGGGTGAGTGGGTGGGTGGGTGGGTGAGTGGGTGGGTGGGTGGGTGAGTGGGTGGGTGAGTGGGTGAGTGGGTGGGTGGGTGGGTGAGTTGGTGGGTGAGTGGGTGAGTTGGTGGGTGAGTGGGTGAGTGAATGAGTGAGTGGGTGGGTGAGTGGGTGAGTGGGTGAGTGGGTGGGTGAGTGGGTGGGTGGGTGGGTGAGTGGGTGGGTGAGTGGGTGGGTGGGAAGGTGAGTGGGTGGGTGAGTGAGTGGGTGGGTGGGTGGGTGAGTGAGTGGGTGAGTGGGTGGGTGAGTGAGTGGGTGAGTGGGTGGGTGAGTGGGTGAGTGGGTGGGTGAGTAAGTGAGTGGGTGAGTGAGTGAGTGGGTGTGTGGGTGGGTGAGTGGGTGGGTGGGTAGGTGGGTGGGTGAGTGGGTGAGAGAGTGAGTGGGTGGGTGAGTGGGTGAGTGAGTGGGTGGGTGGGTGAGTGGGTGGGTGGGTGAGTGGGTGGGTGAGTGAGTGAGTGAGTGGGTGGGTGAGTGAGTGGGTGAGTGGGTGGGTGAGTGGGTGGGTGGGTGAGTGAGTGGGTGAGTGAGTGAGTGGGTGGGTGGGTGAGTGAGTGAGTGAGTGAGTGGGTGGGTGAGTGAGTGACTCCCCCCCCCCCCTTCTCCTTCCCGTGCCAGGCGCGGTGCGTGTGGTCACTCACGGCATCTCTCCCCCCCTGGACACTCCACTGCAGTGGCTGAGCGTGAATCTGAGTTACGCTGACAACTTTCTGCACCTGGTCCTCACCCCGTGCTCACAACAGCCCTGAGCTCACCACCACTCACCCACACACTCACCCACACACTCACCCACCCACACACTCACCCACACACTCACTCACACACCCACACACTCACTCACACACCCACACACTCACTCACCCACCCACACACCCACACACTCACCCACACACTCACTCACCCACACACTCACTCACCCACACACTCACTCACTCACTCACCCACTCACTCACACACTCACCCACACACTCACCCACACACTCACTCACCCACTCACTCACCCACACACTCACCCACTAACACTCACCCAGTAACACTCACCCAGTCACTCACTCACTCACACACACAGTCACTCACTCACCCACACACCCACCCACCCACAGACTCACTCACTCACCCACACAGTCACTCACCCACACACTCACCCACCCACTCACCCACACACCCACTAACACTCACCCAGTCACTCACTCACTCACACACAGTCACTCACTCACCACTCACCCACACAGTCACACACTCACCCACACACCCACCAACACACTCGCCCACCCACCCACCCACTCACACATAAAATAAACTACACACTCACCCACACACTCACCCACACACTCACCCACACACCCACCCACCCACACACCCACCCACACACCCACCCACTAACACTCACCCAGTCACTCACTCACACACACAGTCACTCACTCACCACTCACCCACACACCCACCCACACAGTCACTCACTCACCACTCACCCACACAGTCACCCACACACCCACCCACACACTCACCCACCCACCCACACACTCACCCACCCACCCACACACCCACTCACCCACCCACCCACTCACACACAAAATAAACTAGACACTCACCCACACCCACACCCACCCACTCACACCCACACACTCACTAACACACAAAATAAACTAGACACTTACCCACCCACCCACTCACTAACTCACTAACACACACACTAACTCACTAACACACACACTCACCCACACACTCACTAACACACAAAATAAACTAGACACACACCCACACACACACACCCACTCACTAACTCACTAACACACAAAATAAACTAGACACACACCCACACACACCCACCCACACACTAACTCACTAACACACTCACCCACCCACACACTCACTCACTAACACACAAAATAAACTAGACACACTCACCCACCCACACACTCACTCACTAACACACAAAATAAACTAGACACTCACTAACACACTCACAGTCACTCACTAACTCATTAACACACACAAAATAAACTAGACACTTACCCACCCACCCACTCACTAACACACACACTCACAGTCACACTCACTCACCCACACACCCACCCACCGACACTCACCCACTCACTAACTCACTAACACACAAAATAAACTACACACTCACCCACACTCACCCACACACTAACTCACTAACACACAAAATAAACTAGACACACACCCACACACTAACTCACTAACACACAAAATAAACTAGACACACACCCACACACTCACACACTAACTCACTAACACACACACCCACCCACTCACCCACACACTAACTCACTAACACACACAAAATAAACTAGACACTCACCCACACACTCACCCACACACACACTAACTCACTAACACACAAAATAAATTAGACAATGCAACGGATCTCCATTCTCTTGCTTTACTTTCACCACCGCACAGATCACCACCACAGGTCGTGTAGAGGTCACAGGTCATGTAGAGGTCACCATCACAGGTAGTGTAGAGGTCACCACTAGTGTAGAGGTCACCATCACAGGTGTAGAGGTCACCATCACAGGTAGTGTAGAGGTCACAGGTAGTGTAGAGGTCACAGGTCATGTAGAGGTCACATGTCATGTAGAGGTCACCATCACAGGTCGTGTAGAGGTCACCATCACAGGTCGTGTACAGGTCGTGTAGAGGTCACAGATCGTGTAGATTCTAGGTCACCATCACAGGTGTAGAGGTCACAGGTCGTGTAGAGGTCACCACAGGTCGTGTAGAGGTCACCACTAGTGTAGAGGTCACCACAGGTCGTGTAGAGGTCACTGTCATCGTCTTCACAGTTCACAAGGCACTCGAGGTGATGGGGGTCGTGGTGATGCTGATGTTTGTAGTGATGGTGTTTGTGATGGTAGTGATGGTGATAGTGATGGTGGTGATGGTGATGTTTGAAGTGATGGTAGTGATGGTAGTGATGGTGGTAGTGATGGTGGTGGTGATGGTGGTGGTGATTGATGATGGTGGTGGTGATGATGGTGGTGGTGATGATGGTGGTGGTGGTGGTGGTGATGGTGGTGGTGGTGGTGGTGATGGTGGTGGTGATGGTGGTGGTGGTGGTGGTAGTGATGATGGTGGTAGTGATGGTGGTGATGGTGGTAGTGATGGTAGTGATGGTGGTGGTGATGATGGTGGTGATGGTGGTAGCGATGGTGGTAGCGATGGTGGTGATGGTAGTGATGGTGGTGATGATGGTGATGGTGGTAGTGATGGTAGTGATGATTGTGGTGATGATGGTGGTGATGGTGGTAGTGATGGTAGTGATGGTGGTAGTGATGATTGTGGTGGTGATGGTAGTGATGATTGTAGCGATGATGATTGTAGCGATGGTGGTAGTGATAATGTTTGTAGCGATGATTGTAGTGATGGTAGCGATGATGGTTGTAGTGATGTTGATGATGGTAGTGATGATGATGATGGTAGTGATGATGATGGTGGTGGTAGTGATGATGATTGTACTGATGATGATGGTAGTGATGATGATGGTGGTAGCGATGATGATGGTGGTAGCGATGATGATGATGATGGTGCTAGCGATGATGATGATAATGATGTAGTAGCTGTGTGTAACACGTGCAATGCCAGTATCATTCAAATAAAATCCAACAGACTCCCGGACTCCTACCATCAACACCATCAACAACAACAAAGGCAAAGATCCCCCGTGTAGCCTGTGACAGGCTGTAGGGGCAAGTGCTGTGAACAAGTCACAGTGATATCTATGAAGGCTACCGGCACTGTGGCACACGAGGGGGTGGGTGGCCAGCACCACGCCCGGCCGTCTTTGTCTTCCCAGTGGCGATGTTCACTACATACACCACCACCACCACGACCACCATCAACATCACCGCCATCAACGCCCACCGTCAACATCACAACCACAGGATCTTCAATCTGTATAAAATAAATATATATAGTATCTTGCACCCACCCACTAACCACCCACTAACCACCCACCCCACTAAAGACCCACTAACCACCCCACCCACTAACCACCCACCCCACCCACTAACCACCCACCCCACCCACTAACCACCCCACCCCAGCCACTAACCACCCCACCCACTAACCACCCACTAACCACCCCACCCACTAACCACCCCACCCCACCCACTAACCACCCACCCCACCCACTAACCACCCCACCCACTAACCACCCCACCCACTAACCACCCCACCCCACCCACTAACCACCCACCCACCACCCACCCACCACCCCACCCACTAACCACCCACCCCACCCACTAACCACCCACCCCACCCACTAACCACCCACCCCACCCACTAACCACCCACCCCACCCACTAACCACCCACCCCACCCACTAACCACCCCACCCACTAACCACACCACCCACTAACCACCCCACCCACTAACCACACCACCCACTAACCACACCACCCACTAACCACCCCACCCACTAACCACACCACCCACTAACCACACCACCCACTAACCACACCACCCACTAACCACCCACCCACATTCTAAATACAAAGTGCGCTACGTGTAGAGCATATATGCACGCGTGTATGTGTGTACAGGTGTGTGTGTAGGTGTGTGTGTGTACAGGTGTGTGTGTACAGGTGTGTGTGTGTACAGGTGTGTGTGTGTACAGGTGTGTGTGTAGGTGTGTGTGTGTACAGGTGTGTGTGTGTGTGTACAGGTGTGTGTGTGTGTACAGGTGTGTGTGTGTACAGGTGTGTACAGGTGTGTGTAGGTGTGTGTGTGTGTGTACAGGTGTGTACAGGTGTGTGTACATGTGTACAGGTGTGTGTACAGGTGTGTGTAGGTGTGTGTGTGTACAGGTGTGTGTACAGGTGTGTGTGTGTGCGTACACGCGTGTGTGTAGGTGTGTAGGTGTGTAGGTGTGTGTGTACAGGTGTGTGTAGGTGTGTGTAGGTGTGTGTGTACAGGTGTGTGTGTGTACAGGTGTGTGTGTAGGTGTGTGTGTAGGTGTGTGTGTGTGTACAGGTGTGTGTGTACAGGTGTGTGTGTAGGTGTGTGTGTAGGTATGTGTAGGTGTGTGTGTGTGTGTAGGTGTGTGTGTACAGGTGTGTGTAGGTGTGTGTGTGTACATGTGTATGTAGGTGTGTGTGTAGGTGTGTGTGTAGGTGTGTGTGTAGGTGTGTGTACAGGTGTGTGTGTGTAGGTGTGTGTGTGTAGGTGTGTGTGTGTAGGTGTGTGTACAGGTGTGTGTGCAGGTGTGTGTACAGGTGTGTGTGTGTAGGTGTGTGTGTGTAGGTGTGTGTGTAGGTGTGTGTGTGTAGGTGTGTGTGTGTACAGGTGTGTGTGTGCAGGTGTGTGTACAGGTGTGTGTGTGTAGGTGTGTGTGTAGGTGTGTGTGTAGGTGTGTGTGTAGGTGTGTGTGTGTAGGTGTGTGTAGGTGTAGGTGTGTGTGTGTGTAGGTGTGTGTGTGTAGGTGTGTGTGTACAGGTGTGTGTAGGTGTGTGTAGGTGTGGGTGTAGGTGTGTGTGTAGGTGTGTGTGTAGGTGTGTGTGTAGGTGTGTGTGTAGGTGTGTGTGTGTAGGTGTGTGTGTGTAGGTGTGTGTAGGTGTGTGTGTGTGTAGGTGTGTGTGTCTAGGTGTGTGTGTAGGTGTGTGTGTAGGTGTGTGTGTGTAGGTGTGTGTGTAGGTGTGTGTAGGTGTGTGTGTAGGTGTGTGTAGGTGTGTGTGTAGGTGTGTGTGTGTAGGTGTGTGTGTGTAGGTGTGTGTGTGTAGGTGTGTGTGTGTGTAGGTGTGTGTGTGTAGGTGTGTGTGTGTAGGTGTGTGTGTGTGTAGGTGTGTGTGTGTAGGTGTGTGTGTGTAGGTGTGTGTGTAGGTGTGTGTGTAGGTGTGTGTGTAGGTGTGTGTAGGTGTGTGTGTAGGTGTGTGTAGGTGTGTGTGTGTGTAGGTGTGTGTGTAGGTGTGTGTGTAGGTGTGTGTGTAGGTGTGTGTGTAGGTGTGTGTAGGTGTGTGTGTAGGTGTGTGTGTGTAGGTGTGTGTGTAGGTGTAGGTGTGTGTGTGTGTAGGTGTGTGTGTGTGTGTGTAGGTGTGTGTGTGTAGGTGTGTGTGTAGGTGTGTGTGTAGGTGTGTGTAGGTGTGTGTGTAGGTGTGTGTAGGTGTGTGTGTAGGTGTGTGTGTAGGTGTGTGTGTAGGTGTGTGTAGGTGTGTGTGTAGGTGTGTGTGTAGGTGTGTGTGTAGGTGTGTGTGTAGGTGTGTGTGTGTGTAGGTGTGTGTGTGTAGGTGTGTGTAGGTGTGTGTGTGTGTAGGTGTGTGTGTCTAGGTGTGTGTGTAGGTGTGTGTGTAGGTGTGTGTGTAGGTGTGTGTGTAGGTGTGTGTGTAGGTGTGTGTGTGTGTAGGTGTGTGTGTGTAGGTGTGTGTGTGTGTAGGTGTGTGTGTCTAGGTGTGTGTGTAGGTGTGTGTGTAGGTGTGTGTGTGTGTAGGTGTGTGTGTAGGTGTGTGTAGGTGTGTGTGTGTAGGTGTGTGTGTAGGTGTGTGTGTGTAGGTGTGTGTGTGTGTAGGTGTGTGTGTGTAGGTGTGTGTGTGTAGGTGTGTGTGTGTGTAGGTGTGTGTGTGTAGGTGTGTGTGTGTAGGTGTGTGTGTAGGTGTGTGTGTAGGTGTGTGTGTGTGTAGGTGTGTGTGTGTGTAGGTGTGTGTGTGTAGGTGTGTGTGTGTGTAGGTATGTGTGTGTAGGTGTGTGTGTGTGTAGGTGTGTGTGTAGGTGTGTGTGTAGGTGTGTGTAGGTGTGTGTGTAGGTGTGTGTGTAGGTGTGTGTGTGTGTAGGTGTGTGTGTAGGTGTGTGTGTAGGTGTGTGTGTAGGTGTGTATGTAGGTGTGTGTGTAGGTGTGTGTGTGTAGGTGTGTGTGTAGGTGTGTGTGTGTAGGTGGGTGTGTAGGTGTGTGTGTGTGTAGGTGTGTGTGTGTACAGGTGTGTGTAGGTGTGTGTGTGTAGGTGTGTGTGTGTGTAGGTGTGTGTAGGTGTGTGTGTAGGTGTGTGTGTAGGTGTGTCTAGGTGTGTGTGTAGGTGTGTGTGTAGGTGTGTGTGTGTGTAGGTGTGTATGTATGTGTGTGTGTGTAGGTGTATGTGTAGATGTGTGTGTGTAGGTGTGTATGTAGGTGTGTGTGTAGGTGTGTGTGTAGGTGTGTGTGTGTGTGTAGGTGTGTGTGTAGGTGTGTGTGTAGGTGTGTATGTGTGTGTGTGTGTAGGTGTGTGTGTGTGTAGGTGTGTGTGTGTGTAGGTGTGTGTAGGTGTGTGTGTGTAGGTGTGTGTGTAGGTAGGTGTGTATGTGTGTGTGTGTGTAGGTGTGTGTGTGTGTGTAGGTGTGTGTGTAGGTGTGTGTGTGTAGGTGTGTGTAGGTGTGTGTGTGTGTAGGTGTGTGTGTCTAGGTGCGTGTGTCTAGGTGTGTGTGTAGGTGTGTGTGTGTGTGTAGGTGTGTGTGTATAGGTGTGTGTAGGTGTGTGTGTGTGTATGTGTGTGTGTGTAGGTGTGTTTGTAGGTGTGTGTGTAGGTGTGTGTGTGTAGGTGTGTGTGTAGGTGTGTGTAGGTGTGTGTGTGTGTAGGTGTGTGTGTAGGTGTGTGTATGTGTGTGTAGGTGTGTGTGTATGTGTGTTTGTAGGTGTGTGTGTGTAGGTGTTTGTGTAGGTGTGTTTGTGTAGGTGTGTGTGTGTGTAGGTGTGTGTGTGTGTAGGTGTGTGTAGGTGTGTGTGTAGGTGTGTGTGTGTGTGTAGGTGTGTGTGTGTAGGTGTGTGTGTGTAGGTGTGTGTGTGTAGGTGTGTGTAGGTGTGTGTAGGTGTGTGTGTGTGTAGGTGTGTGTAGGTGTGTGTGTAGGTGTGTGTGTAGGTGTGTATGTGTGTACAGGTGTGTGTGTAGGTGTGTGTGTAGGTGTGTGTGTGTGTAGGTGTGTATGTATGTGTGTGTGTAGGTGTGTGTGTGTGTAGGTGTGTGTGTGTAGGTGTGTATGTAGGTGTGTGTGTAGGTGTGTGTGTGTGTGTAGGTGTGTGTGTAGGTGTGTGTGTAGGTGTGTATGTGTGTGTGTAGGTGTAGGTGTGTGTGTGTGGAGCTGCGGCAACTCTTGCCACGTCACACGTACACCGGAGCGTGATGCTCCGAACTTCCATCATCACCACCGCCACCACCGCCACCACCACCGCCACCACCACCACCACCGCCACCACCGCCACGGCAGTCCACCTCGTCCCTGCGGCGCGGCCCGGCCAGCTCCGGCTGTGCCGCCGGTGCTGCCGGTGCCGCCGGCTGTGCCGCCGCCGGCCTCGGCGTCTGGTAGGGGTAGCCGTGGTCGTCGAAGAACCTGCGGAAGGTGAACTCGTAGAAGGCGTGCTCCGGTCCGTGACGGTCACCCTCCGCCGCCATCGCCGCCCTCCGCCGCTGAGGACCTCCTCCTGCTCCTCCTCCTCCTCCTCGTCCTCGTCCTCCTCCTCGTCCTCCTGCTCCTCCTCCTCCTCCTCGTCCTCCTCCTCTGCCTCCGGCGGCGTCGGCCCCCCGAGCCGCGATGCCGCCGGCTTCCCGTCCGGAGCTAGACGCCGCCTCCTCCTCCGCCTCCACCGCCTCCACCGCCTCCTCCTCCTCCTCCTCCCGCCCCTCGCCGCAGCCGCCGAAGTCCGACGAGCCGGAGCCGGAGCCGGAGCCGCCGCCCCCGCCGCCCCGCAGCTTGGAGGGCTCCACGGGGTCGAAGTTGGACGTGTCGGTGGGGTGGGCGATCCGCGGCACCAGCGGCGCCGGCGAGCGCCGCAGCCGCTCAAAGTCGACGGTGGCCAGGAAGCGGTGGCAACGAACCTCGGGCCCTCCGAGGCGGTCACGCTCAGAGCGGCAAAGGGACAGGCAGAGGTCGGTGGCGGCGGCCGAGAGGCCGGCCTGCTGCGGGACACGGAGCGTGTCCCTCCAGTTCACTACCTGGTGGGCGGGCGGGTGGGCGGGTGGGTGGGTGGGCGGACGGGTGGGCGGATTGGTGGGTGGGTTGTAGGGTCATCCCCCGCGCCACCGGCCACCGAGACCAGACGCGGGCAAGGCCGGGCTTTTTTGTTGTTTCGATTTAAAGCTTTCGTGACTGCAATGATTCATCTTCTTTGGTTCTTTCGGTAAAGTCACCACCACGTAGAATGAGAATAAAATAATAAATTGATAAAATAAAATAACACAATAATATTCTCACGACGTTTCGGGCCACAACATCGTGAGAATATTATTGTGTTATTTTATTTTATCAATTTATTATTTTATTATCATTCTACGTGGTGACTTTACCGAAAGAACCAAAGAAGATGAATCATTGCAGTCACGAAAGCTTTAAATCGAAATTTAACCGCCTCTACGGGGAGGGATTCCACACATCCTTAAGATCATTGAACAGACTTCGGGATAAGAAGGCTCAACTAATCGAGTCTCTCACCTTTCTGAAGAGATGCCGCGACTCTAAGCTTAAAGGCCGTATCTGAACGTGGCTCTCTCACTCCAGCGCTGTCCTACCAGACAGTCTCGCCCCCTTCACCTGATGAAGGCCACTTGTGTTGTGGCCGAAACGTCGTGAGAATATTATTGTGTTATTTTATTTTATCAATTTATTATTTTATTCTCATTCTACGTGGTGACTTTACCGAAAGAACCAAAGAAGATTTTTTGTTGTTGTTGTTGTTGTTAAATGCGGCCCCGCCGAACTAACGGCATTATTATTTTTTTGATTTGAAGCTTTCGTGAATGCAGCCATTCACGCTCTTAGCTCCTTCGGTAAAGTCACCACGTTGAAGGGAAACGGTAAAATAATAATAAAAAATATATATAAAACAATAAAATTCTCGCGACGTTTCAACCACAACACAGCGACGGTCCGCATTAATTTATTTATTTTTAAACAGTGTATTTAAAAATATAAAAAAATACACCGTTTAAAAATAAATTTATTTATGCAAACCGTCACACCTGATGACGACCGTTTGTGTGTTGTGGTGGAAACGTCCGTGGGAATTTTATTATTGTTTTATATATTTTTTTAAATTATTTTGTTTCCCTTCAACCGTGGCGACTTTAACCGAAAGAACTAAGAACAGGCATTATTATTATTGTTGTTAAATTAATCCACGACTCGCTGCTGATCGTAACCACTGACTTGATTACATTCTTGGTAAAAGTCGTCGCGTTGAAGGGAAACAATAAAACAATAAATATAAAACAATAAAAATTATCACGACGTTTCGAGCACAACACACATAAACGTTTTGTGTGTTGTGGTCGAAACTTCGTGAGAATTTTGTATTGTTTTTATATTTATATATATTTTATTGTTTCACAAACGTTTGTGTGTTGTGGTCGAGACGTCGTGAGAATTTTGTATTGTTTTTATATTTATATAAATTGATTTGTTTTACAGTGAGAATTTTATCGCCTTGATTTGTTTTACAGTGAGAATTTTACCGCCTTGATTTGTTTTACAGTGATAATTTTATCGCCTTGATTTGTTTTACAGTGAGAATTTTATCGCCTTGATTTGTTTTACAGTGAGAATTTTATTGTCTTAATTTGTTTTACAGTGAGAATTTTATTGTCTTAATTTGTTTTACAGTGAGAATTTTATCGTCTTAATTTGTTTTACAGTGAGAATTTTATCGTCTTAATTTGTTTTACAGTGAGAATTTTATCGTCTTAATTTGTTTTACAGTGAGAATTTTATCGTCTTAATTTGTTTTACAGTGAGAATTTTATCGTCTTAATTTGTTTTACAGTGAGAATTTTATCTTCTTGATTTGTTTCACAGTGAGAATTTTATTGTCTTAATTTGTTTTACAGTGAGAATTTTATCATCTTAATTTGTTTTACAGTGAGAATTTTATCGCCTTGATTTGTTTTACAGTGAGAATTTTATCGCCTTGATTTGTTTTACAGTGAGAATTTTATCATCTTGATTTGTTTTACAGTGAGAATTTTATCGTCTTAATTTGTTTTACAGTGAGAATTTTATCGTCTTAATTTGTTTTACAGTGAGAATTTTATCGTCTTAATTTGTTTTACAGTGAGAATTTTATCGCCTTGATTTGTTTTACAGTGAGAATTTTATCGTCTTGATTTGTTTTACAGTGAGAATTTTATCGTCTTAATTTGTTTTACAGTGAGAATTTTATCGTCTTAATTTGTTTTACAGTGAGAATTTTATCGTCTTAATTTGTTTTACAGTGAGAATTTTATCGCCTTGATTTGTTTTACAGTGAGAATTGTATCGCCGTGATTTGTTTTACAGTGAGAATTTTATCGCCTTGATTTGTTTTACAGTGAGAATTTTATCGCCTTAATTTGTTTGATTGTTTTTATATTGCTCGTGTCCCTGCAGTTTGTTAAATTGCCTTGCAGGTAAACGCTTTGCTACCTGTTAAAAGGCCGAATCCTTCAATGTACTGATTTTTACACGTCATTTATAATAGTGAGTCACCGAGGCCCTAGTGAGTCACCCCCCCAGTGAGTCACCCTCCTAGTGAGTCACCCCCCCAGTGAGTCACCCCCCCAGTGAGTCACCCCCTTAGTGAGTCACCCCCCCCAGTGAGTCACCCTCCTAGTGAGTCACCCCCTTAGTGAGTCACCCCCCCAGTGAGTCACCCTCCTAGTGAGTCACCCCCCCAGTGAGTCACCCTCCTAGTGAGTCACCCCCCCAGTGAGTCACCCCCTTAGTGAGTCACCCCCCCAGTGAGTCACCTTCCCAGTGAGTCACCCCCCTAGTGAGTCACCCCCTAGTGAGTCACCCTCCCAGTGAGTCACCCTCCCAGTGAGTCACCCTCCTAGTGAGTCACCCTCCTAGTGAGTCACCCTCCCAGTGAGTCACCCCCCCCAGTGAGTCACCCCCTAGTGAGTCACCCTCCTAGTGAGTCACCCCCCCAGTGAGTCACCCTCCTAGTGAGTCACCCTCCCAGTGAGTCACCCCCCTAGTGAGTCACCCTCCCAGTGAGTCACCCTCCTAGTGAGTCACCCTCCTAGTGAGTCACCCCTCCTAGTGAGTCACCCCTCCTAGTGAGTCACCCCCTAGTGAGTCACCCTCCCAGTGAGTCACCCCCCTAGTGAGTCACCCTCCTAGTGAGTCACCCCTCCTAGTGAGTCACCCTCCTAGTGAGTCACCCTCCCAGTGAGTCACCCTCCTAGTGAGTCACCCTCCTAGTGAGTCACCCTCCCAGTGAGTCACCCTGCTAGTGAGTCACCCCCCCAGTGAGTCACCCTCCTAGTGAGTCACCCCCCCAGTGAGTCACCCCCCCAGTGAGTCACCCTCCTAGTGAGTCACCCTCCTAGTGAGTCACCCTCCCTAGTGAGTCACCCCCCCAGTGAGTCACCCCCTAGTGAGTCACCCCCTAGTGAGTCACCCCCTAGTGAGTCACCCCCCCAGTGAGTCACCCTCCTAGTGAGTCACCCCCCAGTGAGTCACCCCCCCCGTGAGTCACCCCCCCAGTGAGTCACCCCCCCAGTGAGTCACCCCCCCAGTGAGTCACCCCCTAGTGAGTCACCCCCTAGTGAGTCACCCCCCCAGTGAGTCACCCCCCCCTAGTGAGTCACCCCCCTAGTGAGTCACCCTCCTAGTGAGTCACCCTCCTAGTGAGTCACCCTCCCAGTGAGTCACCCTCCTAGTGAGTCACCCTCCTAGTGAGTCACCCTCCCAGTGAGTCACCCTCCTAGTGAGTCACCCTCCCAGTGAGTCACCCTCCTAGTGAGTCACCCTCCTAGTGAGTCACCCTCCCTAGTGAGTCACCCCCTAGTGAGTCACCCTCCCAGTGAGTCACCCCCCAGTGAGTCACCCTCCCAGTGAGTCACCCTCCTAGTGAGTCACCCTCCTAGTGAGTCACCCCCCCCAGTGAGCCACCCTCCTAGTGAGTCACCCCCCCAGTGAGTCACCCCCCAGTGAGTCACCCTCCCAGTGAGTCACCCTCCCAGTGAGTCACCCTCCCAGTGAGTCACCCTCCCAGTGAGTCACCCACCTTCAGCTGAGTCTCTGCCGGAGTGGGAGCAAGAAATGGAGGTTGACCCACCAGCATCTCGTACAGAATGACACCCCTAGTGAGTCACCCTCCCAGTGAGTCACCCTCCCAGTGAGTCACCCTCCTAGTGAGTCACCCTCCCAGTGAGTCACCCTCCCAGTGAGTCACCCTCCTAGTGAGTCACCCTCCCCAGTGAGTCACCCTCCTCAGTGAGTCACCCTCCTAGTGAGTCACCCTCCCAGTGAGTCACCCTCCCCAGTGAGTCACCCTCCTAGTGAGTCACCCTCCCAGTGAGTCACCCTCCCAGTGAGTCACCCTCCCAGTGAGTCACCCACCTTCAGCTGAGTCTCCGCCGGAGTAGGAGCGAGAAACGGAGGTTGACCCACCAGCATCTCGTACAGAATGACACCCCTAGTGAGTCACCCTCCCAGTGAGTCACCCTCCCAGTGAGTCACCCTCCTAGTGAGTCACCCTCCTAGTGAGTCACCCTCCTAGTGAGTCACCCTCCCAGTGAGTCACCCTCCTAGTGAGTCACCCTCCCAGTGAGTCACCCTCCCAGTGAGTCACCCTCCCCAGTGAGTCACCCTCCTAGTGAGTCACCCTCCCAGTGAGTCACCCTCCCAGTGAGTCACCCTCCCAGTGAGTCACCCTCCTAGTGAGTCACCCTCCTAGTGAGTCACCCTCCTAGTGAGTCACCCTCCTAGTGAGTCACCCTCCTAGTGAGTCACCCTCCTAGTGAGTCACCCTCCCAGTGAGTCACCCTCCTAGTGAGTCACCCTCCCAGTGAGTCACCCTCCTAGTGAGTCACCCTCCTAGTGAGTCACCCTCCCAGTGAGTCACCCTCCTAGTGAGTCACCCTCCTAGTGAGTCACCCTCCTAGTGAGTCACCCTCCCAGTGAGTCACCCTCCCAGTGAGTCACCCTCCTAGTGAGTCACCCTCCCAGTGAGTCACCCTCCCAGTGAGTCACCCTCCCAGTGAGTCACCCTCCCAGTGAGTCACCCTCCTAGTGAGTCACCCTCCTAGTGAGTCACCCTCCCAGTGAGTCACCCTCCCAGTGAGTCACCCTCCCAGTGAGTCACCCTCCCCAGTGAGTCACCCTCCCAGTGAGTCACCCCCCCCAGTGAGTCACCCTCCTAGTGAGTCACCCTCCCAGTGAGTCACCCTCCTAGTGAGTCACCCTCCTAGTGAGTCACCCTCCCAGTGAGTCACCCTCCTAGTGAGTCACCCTCCTAGTGAGTCACCCTCCTAGTGAGTCACCCTCCTAGTGAGTCACCCTCCCAGTGAGTCACCCTCCCAGTGAGTCACCCTCCCAGTGAGTCACCCTCCCCAGTGAGTCACCCACCTTCAGCTGAGTCTCCGCCGGAGTAGGAGCGAGAAACGGAGGTTGACCCACCAGCATCTCGTACAGAATGACACCCCTAGTGAGTCACCCTCCTAGTGAGTCACCCTCCTAGTGAGTCACCCCTCCTAGTGAGTCACCCTCCCAGTGAGTCACCCTCCCAGTGAGTCACCCTCCCAGTGAGTCACCCTCCCCAGTGAGTCACCCTCCCAGTGAGTCACCCACCTTCAGCTGAGTCTCCGCCGGAGTAGGAGCGAGAAACGGAGGTTGACCCACCAGCATCTCGTACAGAATGACACCCCTAGTGAGTCACCCTCCCAGTGAGTCACCCCCCCAGTGAGTCACCCCCCCAGTGAGTCACCCCCCCAGTGAGTCACCCTCCTAGTGAGTCACCCCCCCAGTGAGTCACCCCCCCAGTGAGTCACCCACCCAGTGAGTCACCCTCCCAGTGAGTCACCCTCCCAGTGAGTCACCCTCCCAGTGAGTCACCCTCCCCAGTGAGTCACCCTCCCCAGTGAGTCACCCACCTTCAGCTGAGTCTCCGCCGGAGTAGGAGCGAGAAACGGAGGTTGACCCACCAGCATCTCGTACAGAATGACACCCCTAGTGAGTCACCCTCCCAGTGAGTCACCCCCCCAGTGAGTCACCCTCCTAGTGAGTCACCCTCCCAGTGAGTCACCCTCCCAGTGAGTCACCCTCCCAGTGAGTCACCCACCTTCAGCTGAGTCTCCGCCGGAGTAGGAGCGAGAAATGGAGGTTGACCCACCAGCATCTCGTACAGAATGACACCCCTAGTGAGTCACCCTCCCAGTGAGTCACCCTCCCAGTGAGTCACCCTCCCCAGTGAGTCACCCTCCCAGTGAGTCACCCACCTTCAGCTGAGTCTCCGCCGGAGTAGGAGCGAGAAACGGAGGTTGACCCACCAGCATCTCGTACAGAATGACGCCGACACTCCACCAGTCACACAGCTGGGTGTAGCCTGGGGTCACGTGGGGGTCACGCGGGGGGTCACGTGGGGGGGTCACGTGGGGGTCACGCGGGGGTCACGTGAACTCTCTCGCTCGTGACGCCGGCCCGCCACTCACCACTCACCCACGCCACTCACCACTCAACACTCACTCAACACTCACCACTCAACACTCACACTCACTCACCACTCACTCACCACTCACACTCACCACTCACCACTTACACTCACACTCACCACTCACCCTCACCACTCACACTCACCACTCACACTCACCACTCACACTCACCACTCATCACTCACCACTCACACTCACCACTCACACTCACCACTCACCCTCACCACTCACACTCACCACTCACACTCACCACTCACACTCACCACTCACACTCACCACTCACACTCACCACTCACCCTCACCACTCACACTCACCCCACACCACTCACCACTCACCCTCACCACTCACCACTCACCCACACCACTCACCCACACCACTCACCACTCACCCACACCACTCAACACTCACCACTCACACTCACCACTCACACTCACCACTCAACACTCACCACTCACCACTCACCCACGCCACTCACACTCACCACTCACACTCACCCCTCACCACTCACCCTCACCACTCACACTCACCACTCACCACTCACCCTCACCACTCACCCACGCCACTCACCACTCACCCACGCCACTCACCACTCACCCACGCCACTCACCACTCATCACTCACCACTCATCACTCACACTCACCACTCACTCACCACTCACACTCACCACTCACACTCACCACTCACCACTCACCCACGCCACTCACCACTCACCCACGCCACTCACCACTCATCACTCACCACTCACACTCACCACTCACACTCACCACTCACACTCAACACTCACCACTCATCACTCACACTCACCACTCACTCACCACTCACCCTCACCACCAACACTCACCACTCAACACTCACCACTCACACTCAACACTCACCACTCACGCTCACCACTCACACTCACCACTCACACTCACCACTCACCCTCACCACTCACACTCACCACTCACCACTCACCCTCACCACTCACACTCACCACTCAACACTCACCACTCACACTCACCACTCACCCTCACCACTCACACTCACCACTCACACTCACACTCAACACTCACCACTCACGCTCACCACTCACACTCACCACTCACACTCACCACTCACCCTCACCACTCACACTCACCACTCACCACTCACCCTCACCACTCACACTCACCACTCAACACTCACCACTCACACTCACCACTCACCCTCACCACTCACACTCACCACTCACACTCACCACTCACACTCACCACTCACACTCACCACTCACACTCACCACTCACACTCAACACTCACCACTCACACTCACACTCATCACTCACCCTCACCACTCACTCACCACTCACCCTCACCACTCACCACTCACACTCACCACTCACCCTCACCACTCACACTCACCACTCACACTCACCACTCACACTCACCACTCACCAGTCACACTCACTACTCACACTCACCACTCACACTGACCACTCACACTCACCACTCACACTCACCACTCACACTCACCACTCACCCTCACCACTCACCCCTCACCCTCACCACTCACACTCACCACTGACACTCACCACTCACACTCACCACTCACCACTCACCCTCACCACTCACCCCTCACCACTCACGCCACTCACCCCTCACCACACCACTCACACTCACCACTCACCCTCACCACTCACCCCTCACCACTCACGCCACTCACCCCTCACCACACCACTCACACTCACCCACGCCACTCACCACTCACCCTCACCACTCACCCACACCACTCACCACTCACCCCACACCCCTCACCACTCACCCCACACCTCACTCACCCCTCACCACTCACACTCACACCACTCACCATTCACCCTGACCACTCACCACCCACACCACTCACCCCTCACCACACTCACCACTCACCACTCACCCCTCACTCACCCTCTCTGAGCAGAACCTCAGGGGCCATGTAGTTGGGAGTGCCCACCAGTGAGTGGGCCAGGCACCGCTGCTGCTGCTGGCGGTGGTGGTGGATCTGCCTCCTGGTCATCATCGCATCACCACCGCCTCCACCGCCTCCACCACCGCCTCCACCGCCTCCACCGCCTCCACCACCGCCTCCACCGCCTCCACCACCGCCTCCACCGCCTCCACCGCCTCCACCACCGCCTCCACCGCCTCCACCGCCTCCACCTCCACCGCCTCCACCGCCTCCACCGCCTCCACCGCCTCCACCACCGCCTCCACCGCCTCCACCACCGCCTCCACCGCCTCCACCGCCTCCACCGCCTCCACCGCCACCGCCGCCACCCGGGGACTCTCCTTGCCGCTGCCGCTGCTGCTGCTGCTGCTGCCACCCCACGTGAAGTCTCTCGCTACACCGGCACCCCAAGCTGCCGTTCATCAGGTCGTCATCCTCCTCATCATCCTCCTCCTCATCCTCATCCTGCTCATCCTCCTCCTCATCCTCCTCGTCGTCATCGCCATGACGACGCCGGCGTTGTTGTTGTCGTTGTTGTTGTTGTTGTCGTCGTTGTTGTTGTTGTTGTTGTCGTCGTTGTTGTTGTTGTGCACTCCGGGTGTCGGAGGTGCAGGTGCAAGCGGCGGTGGCGGCGGCGGTGGCGGTGGAGGCGGTGGAGGCGGTCGCCCACTCGCTGCTCAAGTCCATGCTGTCAACCCTCGGGTGCTGGGCTGTAGTGGGGCGGGGGGGGGAGGTGGTGGAGGGGAGAGTCAGTCACTCGGCTAGTCACTCAACTAGTCACCTGCCTAGTCACCTGCCTAGTCACTCACCTAGTCACTCAACTAGTCACCCTCCTAGTCACTCACCTAGTCACCCTCCTAGTCACCCTCCTAGTCACCCTCCTAGTCACTCACCTAGTCACCCTCCTCGTCACCCACCTAGTCAAACTCTTAGTCACCTGCCTAGTCACCTGCCTAGTCACCCGCCTGGTCACCCGCCTAGTCGCCCACCTAGTCACCCGCCTGGTCACCCTCCTAGTCACCCCTCCTAGTCACCCTCCCAGTCACCCTCATAGTCACCCTCCTAGTCACACTCCTAGTCACCCTCATAGTCACCCTCCTAGTCACCTGCCCCAGTCACACTCATGGTGGAGGGGCTGGTAGTACTTGGAGTCGTGGGTCCAGCGGAATCCCGTGCACAGGCCGAAATCGGTGAGCTTGATGTGACCGTCGCGGTCGATGAGGACGTTGTACCGGCTAGTCACCCCACCTAGTCACCCTCCCAGTCACCCTCCCGGTCACCCTCCAAGTCACCCTCCTAGTCACCCTCCTAGTCACCCTTCCCAGTCACCCTCCCAGTCACCCTCACCGTGGAGGGGCTGGTAGTACTTGGAGTCGTGGGTCCAGCGGAATCCCGTGCACAGGCCGAAATCGGTGAGCTTGATGTGACCGTCGCGGTCGATGAGGACGTTGTACCGGCTAGTCACCCCACCTAGTCACCCTCCTAGTCACCCCACCTAGTCACCCTTCCCAGTCACCCGCCTCCCAGTCACACTCACGGTGGAGGGGCTGGTAGTACTTGGAGTCGTGGGTCCAGCGGAATCCCGTGCACAGGCCGAAATCGGTGAGCTTGATGTGACCGTCGCGGTCGATGAGGATGTTGTACCGGCTAGTCACCCTCCTAGTCACCCTCCTAGTCACCCTCCTAGTCACCCTTCCCAGTCACCCTCCCGGTCACACTCACGGTGGAGGGGCTGGTAGTACTTGGAGTCGTGGGTCCAGCGGAATCCCGTGCACAGGCCGAAATCGGTGAGCTTGATGTGACCGTCGCGGTCGATGAGGATGTTGTCCGGCTTCACGTCTCGGTGGATGAACCCCATGCGGTGGACGCTCTCCACGGCCAGCACCAGCTCGGCCACGTAGAAGCGTGCCAGCGGCTCGGGGAAGACGCCCAGGCGCACGAGGAGACTCATCATGTCCCCGCCGGGGATGTAGTCCATGACCAGGTAGAGGGCAAGCTTGTCCTGGGGTGGTGGTGGTGGTGGTGTGAGTGGGCGTGGTGGTGGTGGTGGTGGGGGGGGGCGAGGTGGTGGTGGTGGTGGTGGGGGGCGAGGTGGTGGTGGTGGTGATGATGATGGTGGTGGTGGTGGTGATGATGGTGGTGGTGGTGGGCGAGGTGGTGGTGGTGGTGGTGGGGGAGGTGGTGGTGGTGGTGGTGGGGGGGGCGAGGTGGTGGTAGTGGTGGGGGAAGAGGTGGTGGTGGTGGTGGGGGGCGAGGTGGTGGTGGTGGTGGTGGGGGGCGAGGTGGTGGTGGTGGTGGGGGGCGAGGTGGTGGTGGTGGTGGTGGGGGGAGAGGTGGTGGTGGTGGTGGGCGAGGTGGTGGTGGTGGTGGTGGGGGGAGAGGTGGTGGTGGTGGTGGGGGGGGAGGTGGTGGTGGGGGTGGTGGGCGAGGTGGTGGTGGTGGTGGTGGGGCGAGGTGGTGGTGGTGGGGGGCGAGGTGGTGGTGGTGATGATGGTGGTGGTGGTGGTGTAATCACAGCGATTAGTCGCCACAGCGTCCACCGACTCACCAGCCACACTCACCAACACATAGTCACCCACTCACCACACACACTCACCAGTCACACCACACACACTCACCACACACACTCACCACACACACTCACCAGTCACACCACACACACTCACCACACACACTCACCACACACACTCACCAGTCACACCACACACACTCACCACACACACTCACCACACACACTCACCAGTCACACCACACACACTCACCACACACACTCACCACACACACTCACCACCAGCCACAGTCACCAGCCACAGTCACCAGCCACCCACTCAATCACCCACCCACTCACTCACCCACCCACTCACCCACCCACTCACCCACCCACTCAATCACTCACCCACCCACCCACCCACTCAATCACCCACTCACCCACTCACTCACCCACCCACTCACCCACCCACCCACCCACTCACTCACTCACCCACCCACCCACCCACACACACCACACACCACCACCCACCTGAAACGAGTAGTACAGCCTCACGACCCACTCGTTGTCGGCCTCCGCCAGGATGTCCCGCTCGGCCTTGACGTGCGCCGCCTGGTTGCGGGCTAGCACGTCGCCCACCCACTCACCCACTCACTCATTCACTCACCCACTCACTTACTCACTCACTCACCTACTCACTCACCCACTCATCCACTCATTCACTCACTCACTCACTCACCCACTCATCCACTCACTCACTCACTCACCCACCCACTCACTCACCCACTCACTCAATCACTCACTCACCCACCCACTCACCCACCCACTCACTCACCCACTCACTCAATCACTCACTCAATCATCCACTCACTCAATCACCCACTCACTCAATCACCCACTCATCCACTCATCCACCCACTCACTTACCCACTCACTCAATCACTCACCCACTCACTCAATCACTCACTCAATCATCCACTCACTCAATCACCCACTCACTCAATCACCCACTCATCCACTCACCCACTCACTCAATCACCCACTCACCCACTCACTCACTCATCCACTCATCCACTCACCCACTCACTTACTCACTCACTCACCTACTCACTCACCCACTCATCCACTCATTCACTCACTCACTCACTCACCCACTCATCCACTCACTCACTCACTCACCCACCCACTCACCCACCCACTCACTCACCCACTCACTCAATCACTCACTCACCCACCCACTCACCCACCCACTCACTCACCCACTCACTCAATCACTCACTCAATCATCCACTCACTCAATCACCCACTCACTCAATCACCCACTCATCCACTCATCCACCCACTCACTTACCCACTCACTCAATCACTCACCCACTCACTCAATCACTCACTCAATCATCCACTCACTCAATCACCCACTCACTCAATCACCCACTCATCCACTCACCCACTCACTCAATCACCCACTCACCCACTCACTCACTCATCCACTCATCCACTCACCCACTCATCCACTCACTCACTCACCCACCCACCCACCCTCTCACCCACCCACCCACCCACCCACCCACTCACCCACCAACCCACCCACACACACCCCCCATACACCACCACCACCCACCTGAAACGAGTAGTACAGCCTCACGACCCACTCGTTGTCGGCCTCCGCCAGGATGTCCCGCTCGGCCTTGACGTGCGCCGCCTGGTTGCGGGCTAGCACGTCGCCCACCCACCCACTCACTCACTCACCAACTCATCCACCCACTCACTTACCCACTCACCCACTCACTCACCCACTCATTCACTCACCCACTCACTCACCCACTCATTTACTCACCCACTCACTCACCCACTCATTCACTCACCCACTCACTTACCCACTCAATCACTCACTCAATCACCCACTCATCCACCCACTCATTCAATTACCCACTCACTCAATCACTCACTCAATCACCCACTCACCCACTCATTCAATTACCCACCCACTCACCCACCCACTCACTCACCCACCCACCCACCCACCCACCAACCCACCCACACACACCCCCCACACACCACACTACCACCACCCACCTGAAACGAGTAGTACAGCCTCACGACCCACTCGTTGTCGGCCTCCGCCAGGATGTCCCGCTCGGCCTTGACGTGCGCCGCCTGGTTGCGGGCTAGCACGTCGCGCTTGCGCAGAGTCTTCATGGCGTAGAGGGCGCCAGTGTCGGCCTTGCGTGCCAGCGTCACCTCGCCGAAGGCACCAACGCCCAGCGTCTGCAGGCGCACGAACAGCGACGCCTCCAGCTTGGCGCGCCGGAGACGCAGGTAGTTGGACTCCTTGCGGCGGAGCATCTGGCGCATCTGCTGCTGGTCGTCGTCGCCCAGGCCAACCTGGTGGGTTGGTTGTGGGTGGGTGGTGGGAGAGATGGTGAGACAGACAGAGAGACAGAGAGAGAGACAGAGAGAGAGACGGAGACACAGGTAGTTGGACTCCTTGCGGCGGAGCATCTGGCGCATCTGCTGCTGGTCGTCGTCGCCCAGGCCAACCTGGTGGACAGTGGGAGAGATGGTGAGAGATGGAGAGAGAGACGGTGAGAGATGGAGAGAGAGATGGTGAGAGACACTGGGAGAGAGATAGAGAGACAGAGAGAGAGACGGTGAGAGACAGAGAGAGACAGAGACACAGAGTGAGAGAGACAGAGAGAGAGACAGAGAGAGACAGAGACGCAGGTAGTTGGACTCCTTGCGGCGGAGCATCTGGCGCATCTGCTGCTGGTCGTCGTCGCCCAGGCCAACCTGGTGGGTGGTGGGAGAGATGGAGGCACGGGGAGACACGGGGAGAGAGACGGTGAGAGACAGAGTGAGAGAGACAGAGAGAGACAGAGAGAGAGACAGAGAGAAACAGAGACACGGTGAGAGAGACAGAGAGAGACAGAGAGAGACAGAGACACAGGTAGTTGGACTCCTTGCGGCGGAGCATCTGGCGCATCTGCTGCTGGTCGTCGTCGCCCAGGCCAACCTGGTGGGTTGGGTGGGGTGGGAGAGAGACACGGGGAGAGATGGAGGCACGGGGAGACACGGGGAGAGAGACGGTGAGAGAGACGGTGAGAGATGGAGAGAGATGGAGGCACGGTGAGAGAGACGGTGAGAGACACGGAGAGAGAGACAGTGAGAGAGATGGAGAGAGAGACAGTGAGAGACAGTGAGAGAGACAGAGACATGGTGAGAGAGACACAGTGAGAGACACAGAGACACAGAGTGAGAGAGAGACAGAGACACAGGTAGTTGGACTCCTTGCGGCGGAGCATCTGGCGCATCTGCTGCTGGTCGTCGTCGCCCAGGCCAACCTGGTGGGGTGGGTGGGTGGGTGGGAGAGATGGTGAGAGAGATGGAGACACGGTGAGAGAGACGGTGAGAGAGATGGAGAGAGATGGTGAGAGAGATGGTGACACGGGGAGAGAGACGGTGAGAGATGATGGAGACACGGTGAGAGAGACAGAGACACAGAGAGAGAGACAGAGAGAGAGAGACAGAGAGAGACAGAGAGAGAGACAGAGAGAGACAGAGAGAGACAGAGAGAGAGACAGAGAGAGACAGAGAGAGACAGAGAGAGAGACAGAGAGAGACAGAGAGAGAGACGGAGACGCAGGTAGTTGGACTCCTTGTGGCGGAGCATCTGGCGCATCTGCTGCTGGTCGTCGTCGCCCAGGCCAACCTGGTGGGTGGTGGGAGAGATGGAGAGAGAGACGGTGAGAGATGGAGGCACGGGGAGAGAGATAGAGTCAGATAGAGACACGGGGAGAGAGACGGTGAGAGAGACGGTGAGAGAGACGGTGAGAGATGGAGAGAGATGGAGAGAGACGGAGACACGGTGAGAGACACGGTGAGAGAGATGGAGAGAGAGACAGTGAGAGACAGTGAGAGAGACAGAGACATGGTGAGAGAGACACAGTGAGAGAGACAGAGACACAGAGTGAGAGAGAGACAGAGACGCAGGTAGTTGGACTCCTTGCGGCGGAGCATCTGGCGCATCTGCTGCTGGTCGTCGTCGCCCAGGCCAACCTGGGGGATGGGGGTGGGAGAGACGGTGAGAGAGATGGAGACACGGTGAGAGAGACGGTGAGAGAGATGGAGAGAGATGGAGAGAGACGGAGACAGGGTGAGAGAGACACAGTGAGAGAGACAGAGACACAGAGTGACAGAGAGAGACAGAGACGCAGGTAGTTGGACTCCTTGCGGCGGAGCAGAGAGATGGTGAGAGAGACGGTGAGAGAGACAGAGAGACAGAGACACAGTGAGAGAGACAGAGAGACGGTGAGAGAGATGGAGAGAGATGGAGGCACGGGGAGACACGGGGAGAGAGATGGAGAGAGACACAGAGTGAGAGAGAGACAGAGACACGGTGAGAGAGACACAGTGAGAGAGACGGAGACGCAGGTAGTTGGACTCCTTGCGGCGGAGCATCTGACGCATCTGCTGCTGGTCGTCGTCGCCCAGGCCAACCTGGTGGGGTGGGTGGTGGGGAGATGGAGAGAGATGGAGGCACGGGGAGACACGGGGAGAGAGACGGTGAGAGACACGGTGAGAGACACGGTGAGAGACACGGTGAGAGACACGGTGAGAGATGGAGAGAGACGGAGACACGGTGAGAGACACGGTGAGAGAGACGGTGAGAGATGGAGAGAGATGGAGGCACGGGGAGACACGGGGAGAGAGACGGTGAGAGACACGGTGAGAGACACGGTGAGAGACACGGTGAGAGATGGAGAGAGACGGAGACACGGTGAGAGACACGGTGAGAGAGACGGTGAGAGATGGAGAGAGATGGAGGCACGGGGAGACACGGGGAGAGAGACGGTGAGAGACACGGTGAGAGACACGGTGAGAAATGGAGAGAGACGGAGACACGGTGAGAGACACGGTGAGAGAGACGGTGAGAGATGGAGAGAGATGGAGGCACGGGGAGACACGGGGAGAGAGACGGTGAGAGACACGGTGAGAGACACGGTGAGAGAGACGGTGAGAGATGGAGAGAGACGGAGACACGGTGAGAGACACGGTGAGAGAGACGGTGAGAGATGGAGAGAGATGGAGGCACGGGGAGACACGGGGAGAGAGACGGTGAGAGACACGGTGAGAGACGGAGAGAGACGGAGAGACGGAGACACGGTGAGAGACACGGTGAGAGAGACGGTGAGAGATGGAGAGAGATGGAGACACGGTGAGAGACACGGTGAGAGAGATGGAGAGAGAGATGGAGAGAGAGACAGTGAGAGAGACAGAGAGACACGGTGAGAGAGACAGAGAGAGACAGAGAGAGAGACAGAGAGAGAGACAGAGACAGAGAGAGACAGAGAGAGACGGTGAGAGAGACAGAGAGAGAGACAGAGAGAGAGACAGAGACACAGAGTGAGAGAGAGAGAGACAGAGACACAGGTAGTTGGACTCCTTGCGGCGGAGCATCTGGCGCATCTGCTGCTGGTCGTCGTCGCCCAGGCCAACCTGGTGGGTGGTTGTGGGTGGGTGGGAGAGACGGGGAGAGAGACAGGGAGAGAGATGGAGTCAGACAGAGAGACGGTGAGAGAGACAGAGAGAGACGGTGAGAGAGACAGAGACACAGAGTGAGAGAGACAGAGACACAGAGTGAGAGAGACAGTGAGAGAGATGGTGAGAGACAGAGACACAGAGTGAGAGAGACGGTGAGAGAGACGGTGAGAGAGACGGTGAGAGAGATGGAGAGAGAGACGGTGAGAGAGATGGAGAGAGAGACACTGAGAGAGACGGTGAGAGAGATGGTGAGAGACAGAGACACAGAGTGAGAGAGATGGAGAGAGAGACGGTGAGAGAGATGGAGAGAGAGACAGTGAGAGAGACGGTGAGAGAGATGGAGACACGGGGAGAGAGATGGAGAGAGAGATGCAGAGAGATAGAGACACGGGGAGAGAGACGGTGAGAGAGACGGTGAGAGGGACGGTGAGAGAGACGGTGAGAGAGACGGTGAGAGAGACGGTGAGAGAGACGGTGAGAGAGATGGAGACACGGGGAGAGAGACGGTGAGAGGTAGAGACACAGGGAGAGATATGGAGACACGGGGAGACACTGGGAGAGAGACGGAGGGAGATGGTGAGAGAGGACTCACTCTCCCCCTCTCCATCTCCTCAACCTCCTCGGACTCCAGACCCAGCACCATCTGGCACCGACACACCAAGCCCTGACCACTCGCACTGTCAAACCTCCACCTCCTCCTCCTCCTCCACCTCCTCCTCCTCCTCCACCACCACCATCACCATCACCATGACCTCCACCACCTCCACTACCATCACCACCTCCACTACCATCACCTCCACCACTACCATCACCACCTCCACTACCATCACCTCCACCACTACCATCACCTCCACCACCACCACCACCACCACCTCCACCACCACCACCACCACCACCCCCACCACCACCACCACCACCTCCTCCTCCTCCACCACCACCACCTCGTCCACCACCTCCACCACTAACACCACCACCACGTCCACTACTATCACCACCATCACCACCACCTCCTCCTAACCCACCTCCACCACCTCCACCACCACCACCTCCACCACCACCTCCTCCACCACCTTCTCCTAACCCACCTTCTCCTAACCCACCTCCACCACCCCCACCACCTCCACCACCACCATCACCACCACCTCTACCACCTCCACCACTACCATCACCACCACCTCTCCCACCACCTCCCCCACCACCTTCACCAGCACCACTATCACCACCACCATCTCCAACAACAACCGCCATTCGCCACCAAGTGGCAGTAACGTCACCATGACGCTTGTGCCAGGCTATGTGCACGTTGAGGCCAAGTGAAGTGTCGAACGCCCGCTGGTAGGAGGTCACGGGGCAGACCCAGGTGCCACGGGTCGACTGACTGAGATGACTGGCTGATGCACCACCTGTGCCCCCTACTGTGCCAACCTGCTGTGCTTTAGTCACCCGGCGCTCCGCTCGTTGTTCTGAGCGTCGCTCCTCCGCCCTCCGTTGTTGTTGGAGGGCGACTGCCTCCAACTGCCCAGTAGCGTCCTTCACGAGCCTCCTTCACAGAGGCCGATCTTGACACCGCTGGTACCGTTCATCGGCAAGTCCACTCAGCTCCACGTCCTCCTGTACCACATCACTCCATCTCTTCTCTAGCCCGTGCCACGTCCGTGAGAGTGGGCCTGTCGCTTTTTCTCAGCCAGCCTGAATACCTCCTCTGACAGCCAGGGTCTCTGGGGAGGTCTGGACCGTGTACCCCAAGCAGCCATTGCAGCTGCATGAGTGACAGTCCTAAACTTCGCCCATTTACCCTCGACATCAGGAGGAGTGGGGGACGATGCCAACCCCAGCCGCAAGCGATGATTAAATTCTCGCTTGCAACTTTCATCAGCTAACTGAGACCAGGCCACCTTAGGTTGGAATGGGGTCCCGGGTGTACAGCCACCATCGGAGTGGAAGAATGGCAGGCGCATCTTACAGATGACTAGTAGATGGTCAGAGGGCAGATCAGCTCCACGGTAGGTCCTGGTGTCAAGGACATGGGCTCGCATCCGCTGGTCCGTCACTATGTAGTCCAGCAGATGTTCTTGCTTGGACCCGGCATGCATCCATGATGTTATGTGGATGTGCCGATGCCGGAACAGCGTGTTGGTAATTACAAGTCCATGGGCTGCACAAAAATCTAGCAGCCTCCTACCATTGTTATTGAGCTGATCTGGCCCATGCCCTCCAATCACTCCAGACCAGGTGCCAGCATCATGACCAACTCGGGCATTAAAGTCGCCCAACAAGATGACTCTATCCCGAAGGGCCACTTTAGCCAGCACCTGTGACAGGAGGTCACAGAAGGCATCTGACTCATCGGCCTTGCCTGCATCCCTCCACGGATGTTCGTCTTCGGTGGGGCATAAGTAACCACGACCACCACTCCTCGCCTCCGGTTGACGGGAAGGCGAGCCCAAAGTAGCCTGGGGCTTACAGCTTCCCACACCTCACCGCCACGCTCCCACACCCCCTTCATTCTTTTGTTCAGAAGAAGAGCCACACCCTGTTGTTTGGCAGTCTGCTGCCCCGAGTAGAGGACTGTCAACCCCTCATGGTGGCAGGAGCCAGAGCCGGTCCACCGGACCTCCCGAACGCCGCAGAGATCCAGGCGGTACCGGTCCAGCTCCCGACGGAGGAGTGGCAGCCTCTCCTCCCGCAGTGAGTGTTCGAACATTCCACGTGGCCACACGAAGTGGCTTTTCGTTGTTTCTGGAGGAAACCCCCGAGGGTAGAGATTCAATCTTCTGGGGCTCCATAACAGAGGGGGGGTTTTTTCGGTTAGATCACGTAAATATATAAAAGCGTGTCGTTAAAACCCGCGACCACCCGACACAGCCAACTAGTAAGAGGTTGTCACGTTAAACAGAACGTGGCCAAATTTTTTATCTGAAGCTGTCGTGACTGCAGTAATTCCCACTCTTAGCTCTTTCGGTAAAGTCACCACGTTGGAAGGGAAACAATGAAATAATAAAACATATATAAAACAATAAAAAAATTCTCACGACGTTTCGACCACAACACAAACGGTCGTCATCAGGTGTGAAAAAACCAACGGCAATAAACATTTGGAAGAAGTTGGCGGTTTGCGTTAACTAATTTATTTTTAAACGGTGTTTTTTATTTATTTATTTAAAAAACCGTCAGCGCCACGCGCAGCGATTTGGCAGATTATTTAGAAGGACGAGATTCGTTCATGAGGCTATCCACATATACAAGCACAGAGACAATTTCAACCGAGAAAGATGGATTCTGGGCTTAGCAATCATTGGAAGGATTTGATAAACCATTTCAGGTCTTAATTGATTGATCATTGTTATAATTCAGTAGGCTCACATGACATTGACTTCTCCAAGACGGAGGTTCTTTGTAAGCCATCTGGCTACCATGAGAGATTCGTTCACGAGGCTATCCACATATACAAGCACAGAGACAATTTCAACCGAGAAAGATGGATTCTGGGCTTAGCAATCATTGGAAGGATTTGATCAACCATTTCAGGTCTTAATTGATTGATCATTGTTATAATTCAGTAGGCTCACATGACATTGACTTCTCCAAGACGGAGGTTCTTTGTAAGCCATCTGGCTACCATGAGAGATTCGTTCATGAGGCTATCCACCATATACAAACACAGAGACAATTTCAACCGAGAAGATGGATTCTGGCTTAGCAATCATTGGAAGGATTTGATACACCATTTCAGGTCTTAATTGATTGATCATTGTTATAATTCAGTAGGCTCACATGACATTGACTTCTCCAAGACGGAGGTTCTTTGTAAGCCATCTGGCTACCATGAGAGATTCGTTCATGAGGCTATCCACCATATACAAGCACAGAGACAATTTCAACTGATAAGATGGATTCTGGGCTTAGCAATCATTGGAAGGATTTGATAAACCATTTCAGGTCTTAATTGATTGATCATTGTTATAATTCAGTAGGCTCACATGACATTGACTTCTCCAAGACGGAGGTCCTTTGCAAGCCATCTGGCTACCATGAGAGATTCGTTCATGAGGCTATCCACCATATACAAGCACAGAGACAATTTCAACCGGGAAAGATGGATTCTGGCTTAGCAATCATTGGAAGGATTTGATCAACCATTTCAGGTCTTAATTGATTGTTCACGCTTACGGTGGCTTTCAGACAGCGTACATTAATTTTTCGTCTCCCCCCCTCCTCTTTTCAGAACATAGATGGACTAGTCCTTCTAAATAAACTGCCAAATCGCTGCGCGTGGCGCTGACGGGTTTTTAAATAAATAAATGCGCACACCGTTTAAAAATAAATTAATTTATGAAACCGCCAACTTCTCCCAAATGTTTATTGCCGTTGGTATTTTCACACCTGATGACGACCGTTTGTGTTGTGGTCGAAACGTCGTGAGAATTTTTTTATTGTTTTATATATATTTTATTATTTTATTGTTTCCCTTCCAACGTGGTGACTTTACCGAAAGAGCTAAGAATAAAGAACGTGGCCAATTCGTCACTGGTACAGCACCACCGTTTTTTTGTGTATTCTATTTTCACCACAACTAGCTGTGGCTAATGCAAAAACGTCTCAGTTTGGTGTTTGAACATCGTAACACACAGCTGTTTGGTTGCCAGAAAAAAGAAGGGGAAAACCTATTCTCTATGTCAGTGCTAAATTATCTCCCCCCCCCCTCCTCTGTTCCGAACACAGATGGACTCGTCCGTCTGAACAAAGCTCGTCGCTTTCCGTGGTGCTAATCTCCCAGTTACACGCTCATTTCTGACTTTAACATCCTGCTAATCTCCCAGTTACATGCTAATCCATCACATTAACATCGTGCTAATCTCCCAGTTACATGCTAATTTCTGACTTTAACACCCTGCTAATCCAACACATTAACTTAGCTACTTCAATGCTAAACTCCTCTGCTGATATGTAAACTCTGACTTTAACATAGCTACTTCCGTGACCAGTTACATGCTAATCCATCACACTAACATCCTGCTAATCTCCCAGTTACATGCTAAATCCTCACTTTAGCATCCTGCTAATCTCCCAGTTACATGCTAAATCCTCACTTTAACATCCTGCTAATCTAACACATTAACACAACTACTTCAATGCTAAACTCATCTGTTGATATGTAAACTCTGACTTTAACATAGCTATATTTAACATAGCTACTTCCGTGACCAGTTACATGCTAATCCCTCACACCAACATCGTGCTAATCTCCCAGTTACAAGCTAAATCCTCACTTTAACATCCTGCTAATCTCCCAGTTACATGCTAATTTCTGACTTTAACACCCTGCTGATCCAACACTTTAACACACCTACTTCAATGCTAAACTCCTCTGCTGATATGTAAACTCTGACTTTAACTTAGCCACTTCAATGCTAAACTCCTCTGCTGATATGTAAACTCTGACTTTAACTTAGCTACTTCAATGCTAAACTCCTCTGTTGACATGTAAACTCTGACTTTAACACAGCTATTTCAATGCTAAATTCTTCTGCTGATATGTAAACTCTGACTTTAACATAGCCACTTCAATTCTAAACTCCTCTGCTGATATGTAAACTCCTTTGTCAAGGCGCTGCCAAGCTCAGCGGCGTCCACTGGGAGCGCTGTCGTCCCGACGGTTCTGTTCCTTCACCTGAGGAAGGCTACTTGTGTTGTGGCCGAAACGTCGTGAGAATTTTAATTTTACCGCGTTTTATTATTTTGATTATTTTTTTTTTCCCCATTCTACGTGGCGGTGACTTCACCCCAAAGACCCAAGAAGACTTTTCTCGCCGTTTGCTTTTTTGGCAATTTGCTGTTCCCAATAATTGGGGCAGCCACCTCGTGGCCAGCCATCTCAGCTTGATCATGGGGGAGATGATCCCCACGTCTGCAACGACCTCATCGACGGTGATTGTGCGTGGGGACCAAGGCAAAAGTTCAGAGCTCCGGGGCTCCGACAAAACGGGGTTTTGGCCAGGAGACGTCATGGACGCCTGTCCCCCCCCCCCGGCACAAGCTTATTAGTTACATTTTCACTTCGTGGTTTTGTGGGTAATTAATTGAAGGTGGAGGGGTTGCAAGCCCCTCGCACCCGTCCAGAGCCCCCGTTTGGCCGCTGTGGTGGACACAAACGCCATGAGGGGGAACGGCAAATCTTGAGTTGGCCCTACCACCCCCCACGGCACTGCTCACCGCACCGTTGCCGTCCGGCACCACGAGAAGGTAGGGGGTTGTTTTTGCCGGAACGCCTCCACCACCACCTATACCACCTCCTACACCACCACCACCACCACCAACTCCTCCACCTCCACCACCACCACCACCACCACCACCTCCACCACCTCCACCACCACCTCCACCACCTCCACCACCACCTCCACCACCTCCACGACCACCTCCACCACCACCACCTCCATGACTACCTCCACCACCACCTCCACCACGACCACCTCCACCATCACCTCCAACTCGACCACTTCGACCACCTCGACCACCTCCACCACGTCCACCACCACCTCCACCACCACCACCACCTCCACCTCCACGACCACCTCCACCACCACCACGACCACCACCACCACCTCCACCACCACCACCTCCACCTCCACGACCACCTCCACCACCACCACGACCACCACCTCCACCTCCACCACCTCCACCACCTATATCACCACCTCCACCACCACCTCCACCACCACCTCCACCATCTCCACGACCACCTCCACATAACAACCTCCGCCTCCACCACCTATACCACCACCTACACCACCTCCACCTCCACCACCACCACCACCACCTCACCTTCACCATCTCCCTCTCCAGCTGGGCCCTGCGGTTCAGCCTCTGCTGGTGAGCCTTGAGGACGTTCTCAATGTGCTGCTCCATGAAGAACTTGAACGCCTGCGGCGAGTAGACCCTCACCCTCGATCCACCACCACCGCCACCACCACCACCACCGCCACCACCGCCACCACCACCACCGCCACCGCCCAACGTCGCCACCGCCCTCCCGTCATTGCCACGCCCGTCGTTCCCCACCATCTCCCCGTCGCCCGGCGCCCCCTCCCCACCGCCAACGCCAAACCGGCGAGCCCCCGGCGCCGGCCCCGCGGCGCCGCCGGCCGCGGTGGCCGCCGCTCCTCTCCGGAGGGGCGTGGGAGACGCGGGGGTCCTCTCGCGGACGTCCACGCCGGGAGAGGTGGGAGAGTCGCCGCCTCCACCGCCTCCGCCGCCTCCGCCGCCTCCACCGCCTCCTCCACCGCCTCCTCCACCGCCTCCGCCGCCTCCACCGCCTCCTCCACCGCCTCCGCCGCCTCCGCCGCCTCCGCCTCCGCCGCCTCCTCCACCTCCGCCTCCACCGCCTCCGCCGCCTCCACCGCCTCCACCGCCTCCGCCGCTAGCCGGTGGTGGCGGCGGCGGCGGGCGCCCGCCGAGGCGGTGCCGGGGGTACGGAGGTGGCGGTTGACGGTAATCCGGTGCCTGCGGCGTCACGGCCACAGCCGCTGCTGCCGCTGCTGCTGCTGCTGCTGTTGCTGCTGTTGTTGCTGCTGCTGCTGCTGCTGTTGCTGCTGCTGCTGCAGGCTTGCGGTTGTGGTGCCTGCTGCTGTTGCTCTGCTCTTCCTTCTGATACGCTGCCTCCTCCTCATCCTCCTCCTGCTGCTGCTGCTGCTGCTGTTCCAGCTGCTGCTGCTGCTGCCTGTACAGCTGCTGCTGCTGTTCCAGCTGCTGCTGCTGCTGTTGTTCCAGCTGCTGCTGTCTGTACAGCAGCTCCTCCTCCTGCTGTCGCCTTTGATACAGCAGCAGCTCCTCCTGCTGCTGCTGCTGCTGTCTGTACAGCTGCTCCTGCTGCTGCTGATACAGCTGCTGCTGCTGCTGCTGTTCCTGCTCTTCCTGCTGCTGCTGCTGCTGCTGATACAGCTGCTCCTTCTCCTCCTGCTGCTGCTGCTGTTGCCTGTACAGCTGCTGCTGTACCTCCTCCTCCTGCTGCTGCTGCTGCTGCTGGCGGTGCCGGTGTTGGCGCGGCAGCGGCGGCGGCGGCGGCGCCAGCGCCGTCTGAGCCCTCGGCTGCACCACGCGGGAGCTGCGGGCGCGGCCAATCACGGGCGCCGTGGTGGCTGTGGGCGGGGGGACGGTCCCTCCACCTCCACCACCGCCTCCACCGCCGCCGCGCAGGGTGGTGATGAGGGCTCCGTTGAAGGAGTTCGATCGGCTGGGCTGGGCGGGAGCTGCCGAGGAGGATGAGGAGGAGCTGGGTGCCACGCTGGAAGTGGCGCGGGTGAGGTGGGTGGGTCCGGCGGGGCGCAGGGGGGAGGGGGCCTGGGAGGGAGGGAGGGAGGGAGGGAGGGAGGGAGGGGGGAAGGGGTTGTGAGGTGGAGTTGTGAACGAACTCAGTCAATCATTCAACCGCCCGCCCGTTCGTTAATTCACAACAACGACGACAACAACAACAACAGCAACAACAACCGCCATTCGCCACTAAGCGGCGGTGACGTCACCACGACGCTTGTGCCAGGCTAGGTGCACCCTGAGGCCACGTGAAGTTGTCGAACGCCCGCTGGCAGGAGGTCACGGGGCAGACCCAGCAGGTGCCACGGGTCGACTGACTGAGATGGCCGAGATGACCGTGGCTGATGCACCACCTGCGCCCCCTACTGTGCCAACCGGCTGTGCTTTAGCCACCCGGCGCTCCGCCCGTGGTTGTGAGCGTCGCTCCTCCGCCCTCCGTTGTTGTTGTTGTTGGAGGGCGACTGCCTCCGGACTGCCCAGTAGCAGCGTCATTCACGAGCCTCCTCCACAGAGGCCGATCTTGACACCGCCGCTGGTACCGGTCATCGGCAAGTCCACTCAGCTCCAAGCCCTCTTGTACCACATCACTCCAGGAGGAACAACAGATGGGCCACTTTAGCCAGCACCTGTGACAGGAGGTCATAGAAGGCATCTGACTCATCGGCTTTGCCTGCATCCCTCCACGGATGTTCGTCTTCGGTGGGGGCATAAGTAACCACGACCACTGCCGCTCCTCGCCTCCGGTGGATGGGAAGGCGAGCCCAAATTATCCTGGGGCTTACAGCTTCCCACACCTCACCGCCATGCTCCCACGCCCCCTTCATTCTTTTGTTCAAAAGAAGAGCCACACCCTGTTGATTGGCGGTCTGCTGCCCCGAGTAGAGGACTGTCCACCCCTCATGGTGGCAGGAGCCAGAGCCGGTCCACCGGACCTCCCGAATGCCACAGAGATCCAGGCGGTACCGGCCCAGCTCCCGACAGAGGAGTGGCAGCCTCTCCTTCGCAGTGAGCGTTCGAACATTCCACGTGGCCACACGAAGTGGCTTTTCGTTGTTTCTGGAGGAGCCCCGAGGGTAGAGATTCAATCTCCTGGCTCCGCCAATTGGGGTTTGGCCAGGAGACGTCATAGACGCCTCGGGGCCTCCGGCACAAGCGTGGCGAGATTTTTAACTCGTGGTTTAGTGGTAATTGGGTTGAAGGTGGCCTCTGTGGTGGCTACAATGCCACCCACCCACCCACTCACCCACTCACTCACTCATTCACAAGCAGGCCCAATGACCCACCCAATCACCCACCCACCCACTCACCCACACATTAACAAGCAAGCCCACCCACCCATTCACCCACCCACCCACCCATTCACCCACCCACCCACCCATTCACCCACCCACCCACCCATTCACCCACCCACCCACCCATTCACCCACCCATCCACCCATTCACCCACCCACCCACCCATTCACCCACCCACCCATTCACCCACCCACTCACCCATTCACTCACTCACTCACTCACCCACTCATTCACCCACCCACCCACTCATTCACCCACCTACCCACCCACCCATTCACCCACTCACCCATTCACTCACTCATTCACCCACCCACCCATTCACCCACGCATTCACCCACCCACCCACCCATTCACCCACCCGCTCACCCGCTCACCCATTCACCCACCCACCTACCCATTCACCCACCCACCCATTCACTCACTCACTCACCCACTCATTCATCCACCCACCCACCCACCCATTCACCCACCCACTCACCCATTCACTCACTCACCCACTCATTCACCCACCGACTCACCCATTCACCCACGCATTCACCCACCCACCCACCCACCCGCTCACCCACCCACCCATTCACCCACCCACCGACCCATTCACCCACCCACCCATTCACTCACTCACTCATTCACCCACCCACTCACCCATTCACCCACGCATTCACCCACCCACTCACCCATTCACTCACTCACCCACTCATTCACCCACCCACTCACCCATTCACCCACGCATTCACCCACCCACCCACCCACCCGCTCACCCACCCACCCACCCACCCACCCGCTCACCCACCCACCCATTCACCCACCCACCCATTCACCCACCCACTCACTCACCCACCCACCCACTCACCCACCCACTCACCCACTCACCCACCCGCCCACCCACTCACCCACCCACCCACTCACCCACCCACTCACCCACCCACCCACTCACCCACCCACCCACTCACCCACCCACACCCACCCACCCACCAGGTTCTGCTGGCTCCCGTATCTCCGAGCTCCGCTGACCGCCGCTGTGCCCGCGGTTGCGCCTTGGTGGTGGAGGAGTTGGTGGTGGTGGTGGAGTGGGTGGTGGTGGTGGACTTGGTGGTGGTGGACTTGGTGGTGGTGGAGTTGGTGGTGGTGGACTTGGTGGTGGTGGAGGTCTCCTCGGGTGCCGGCAGTCTGCTGGGGGGTCGGGACCCCCTCCAGGGACCCCGAAAATCTCCGCTGAGAAACGACGCTCGTTTGGGGGTGCTGCTGGTTGTTGGGGTTGTTGTTGTTGTGGTGGTGGTGGTGGTTGAGTTGTTGTTGTTGTTGTTGTTGCTGTTGGTGGTGGTGTTGGTGGTGCTGGTGGATGGTGCCAGGCACACTTGGCGGAGGGGTGCAGGCCCTGTACAGCAGCGGCGGGGGGCCAATGGGGGGCGGGCCGGGGTAGGCGGAGTACGAGTTGGGGGGCTCACGTCCTGTGTGGGAGAGAGATGGGGTGGGGGGTGGGTAGGGTAGGGTAGGTTAGGGGTGGAGTGGTAGAGTGGTAGGTGAGGGGTAGAGTGGTAGGTGTATTGTGGTAGGTGTAGAGTGGTAGGTGCAGAGTGGTAGGTGTATTGTGGTAGGTGTAGAGTGGTAGGTTAGGGGTAGAGTGGTAGGGGTGGAGTGGTAGGGGTAGAGTGGTAGGTGAGGGGTAGAGTGGTAGGTGTATTGTGGTAGGTGTAGAGTGGTAGGTTAGGGGTAGAGTGGTAGGGGTGGAGTGGTAGGGTGGAGTGGTAGGGGTAGAGTGGTAGGTGATGGGTAGAGTGGTAGGTGTATTGTGGTAGGTGTATTGTGGTAGGTGTAAAGTGGTAGGTGTAGAGTGGTAGGGGTGGAGTGGTAGGGGTAGAGTGGTAGGGGTAGAGTGGTAGGTGTATTGTGGTAGGTGTAGAGTGGTAGGTTAGGGGTGGAGTGGTAGGGGTGGAGTGGTAGGGGTGGAGTGGTAGGGGTAGAGTGGTAGGTGATGGGTAGAGGGGTAGGTGTAGAGTGGTAGTGGTAGAGTGGTAGTGGTAGATTGGAAGGTGTAGAGTGGTAGGGGTGGAGTGGTAGGGGTGGAGTGGTAGGTGTGGAGTGGTAGGGGTGGAGTGGTAGGGGTGGAGTGGTAGGGGTGGAGTGGTAGGGGTGGAGTGGTAGAGTGGTAGGTTATGGGTAGAGTGGTACGTGTAGAGTGATAGGTGTATTGTGGTAGGTGTAGAGTGGTAGGGGTAGAGTGGTAGGTGCAGAGTGGTAGGTGTGGAGTGGTAGGGGTGGAGTGGTAGGGGTGGAGTGGTAGGGGTGGAGTGGTAGGGGTGGAGTGGTAGAGTGGTAGGTTATGGGTAGAGTAGTAGGTGTAGAGTGGTAGGTGTATTGTGGTAGGTGTAGAGTGGTAGGTGTAGAGTGGTAGGTGTAGAGTGGTAGGTGTAGAGTGGTAGGTGTAGAGTGGTAGAGTGGTAGGGGTAGAGTGGTAGGTGTAGAGTGGTAGTGGTAGGTTAGGTGTAGAGTGGTAGGTGTATTGTGGTAGGTGTAGAGTGGTAGGTGTAGAGTGGTAGATGTAGAGTGGTAGGTGTAAAGTGGTAGGTGTAGAGTGGTAGGGGTAGAGTGGTAGGTTAGGGGTAGAGTGGTAGGGGTGGAGTGGAAGGGGTGGAGTGGTAGGGGTAGAGTGGTAGGGGTGGAGTGGGAGGGGTGGAGTGGTAGAGGGGTAGGTGTAGAGTGGTAGTGGTACAGTGGTAGGTGTGGAGTGGTAGGTGTAGAGAGGTAGGTGTAGAGTGGTAGGGGTAGAGCGGTAGAGTGGTAGGTGTAGAGTGGTAGGTGTGGAGTGGTAGGTGTAGAGTGGTAGGTGTAGATTGGTAGGTGTAGAGTGGTAGGTGTAGAGTGGTAGGGGTAGAGTGGTAGGTGTAGAGTGGTAGGTGTAGAGTGGTAGGGGTAGAGTGGTAAGGGTAGAGTGGTAGGTGTGGAGTGGTAGGTGTGGAGTGGTAGGTGTAGAGTGGTAGGTGTAGAGTGGTAGGGGTAGAGTGGTAGGGGTAGAGCGGTAGAGTGGTAGGTGTAGAGTGGTAGGGGTAGAGTGGTAGGTGTAGAGTGGTAGGGGTAGAGCGGTAGAGTGGTAGGGGTAGAGTGGTAGTGGTAGAGTGGTAGGTGTAGCGTGGTAGGTGTAGAGTGGTAGGTGTAGAGTGGTAGGGGTAGAGTGGTAGGTGTAGAGTGGTAGGTGTAGAGTGGTAGGTGTAGAGTGGTAGGGGTAGAGTGGTAGGGGTAGAGTGGTAGGGGTAGAGTGGTAGGTGTAGAGTGGTAGAGTGGTAGGTGTAGAGTGGTAGGTGTAGAGTGGTAGGGGTAGAGTGGTAGGTGTAGAGTGGTAGGGGTAGAGTGGTAGTGGTAGGGGTAGTGGTAGAGTGGTAGTGGTAGAGTGGTAGTGGTAGGTGTAGAGTGGTAGTGGTAGTGTGGTAGTGGTAGGTGTAGAGGGGTAGTGGTAGTGTGGTAGTGGTAAAGTGGTAGTAGTAGGTGTAGTGGTAGGTGTAGTGTGGTAGTGGTAGAGTGGTAGGGGTAGTGGTAGAGTGGTAGATGTAGAGTGGTAGGGGTAGAGTGGTAGGGGTGGAGTGGTAGGTGTAGTGTGATAGTGGTAGAGGTGTAGAGTAGTAGTGGTAGGTGTGATAGTGGTAGTGGTAGGTGTAGAGTAGTAGTGTAGTAGTGGTAGGTGTGAAAGTGGTAGTGGTACGTGTAATATGGTAGGTGTAGTGTGGTAGGTGTAGAGTAGTAGTGTAGTGTGGTAGTGATAGTGGTATGTGTAGTGTGGTAGTGATAGTAGTAGTGTAGTAGTGGTAGGTGTGATAGTGGTAGTGGTAGGTGTAGTGTAGAAGTGATAGTGGTAGTGGTAGATGTGTAGAGTGGTAGGTGTAGAGTAGTAGTGTAGTAGTGGTAGGTGTGATAGTGGTAGGTGTAGAGTGGTAGTGGTAGTGTGGTAGTGGTAGAGGTGTAGAGTGGTAGTGGTAGGTGTAGTGTGGTAGGTGTAGAGTAGTAGTGTAGTAGTGGTAGGTGTGATAGTGGTAGGTGTAGTAGTGGTAGGTGTGATAGTGGTAGTGGTAGTGTGGTAGTGGTAGGTGTAGTGTGGTAGGTGTAGAGTGGTAGGTGTAGAGTAGTAGTGTAGTAGTGGTAGGTGTGATAGTGGTAGTGTGGTAGTGGTAGTGTGGTAGTGGTAGAGGTGTAGAGTGGTAGTGGTAGGTGTAGAGTGGTAGTGTAGTAGTGGTAGGTGTGATAGTGGTAGTGGTAGAGAAGTAGTGTAGTAGTGGTAGGTGTGGTAGGTGTGGTAGTGGTAATGGTACGTGTAGTGTGATAGTGGTAGTGTGGTAGTGGTAGAGTAGTAGAGTGGTAGGTGTGATAGTGGTAGTGGTAGGTGTGATAGTGGTAGTGGTAGGTGTGATAGTGGTAGTGGTAGGTGTGATAGTGATAGTGGTAGGTGTGATAGTGATAGTGGTAGGTGTGATAGTGGTAGAGTAGTAGTGGTAGAGGTGTAGAGTGGTAGGTGTAGTGTGGTAGGTGTAGAGTGGTAGGTGTGGTAGTGGTAGAGGTGTAGAGTGGTAGTGGTAGGTGTAGTGTGGTAGGTGTAGTGTAGAAGTAGTAGTGTAGTAGTGGTAGGTGTGAGTGGTAGTGTGGTAGGTGTGCTAGGAGTGATAGTGATAGTGGTAGTAGTGTGATAGTGGTAGTGGTGTGCTAGTGGTAGTGGTAGGTGTGATAGTGGTAGAGTGGTAGTGGTAGGTGTAGAGTGGTAGTGGTAGGGGTAGTGGTAGTGTGGTAGTGGTAGTGTGGTAGTGTGGTAGTGGTAGGTGTAGAGGGGTAGTGGTAGTGTGGTAGTGGTAAAGTGGTAGTAGTAGGTGTAGTGGTAGGTGTAGTGTGGTAGTGGTAGAGTGGTAGGTGTAGAGTGGTAGGTGTAGAGTGGTGGAGTGGTAGTGGTAGAGTGGTAGTGGTAGTGTAGTAGTGGTAGGTGTAGTAGTGGTAGTAGTAGGTGTAGTGTGGTAGGTGTGGTAGTGGTAGGTGTAGAATGGTAGTGGTAGTGTGGTAGTGGTAGAGGTGTAGAGTGGTAGGTGTAGTGTGGTAGGTGTAGAGTGGTAGGTGTAGAGTGGTAGGTGTAGTGGTAGAGTGGTAGGTGTAGAGTGGTAGGTGTAGTGGTGGTGTGGTACGTGTAGTGTGATAGTGGTAGGGGTAGTGGTAGAGTGGTAGGTGTAGCGTGGTAGTGGTAGAGTAGTAGTGTAGTAGTGGTAGGTGTAGTAGTGGTAGGTGTGATAGTGGTAGGTGTAGTGTAGAAGTGATAGTGGTAGTGGTAGGTGTGATAGTGGTAGTGGTAGAGGTGTAGAGTGGTAGGTGTAGAGTAGTAGTGTAGTAGTGGTAGGTGTAGTAGTAGTAGTGTGGTAGTGGTAGAGGTGTAGAGTGGTAGTGGTAGGTGTAGTGTGGTAGGTGTAGAGTGGTAGTGTAGTGTGGTAGGTGTGATAGTGGTAGGTGTGATAGTGGTAGTGGTAGGTGTGGTAGTGGTAGGTGTGATAGTGGTAGGTGTGCTAGTGGTAGTAGTGGTAGGTGTGATAGTGGTAGTGTTAGTGTGATAGAGTTAGTGGTAGGTGGTGGTAGTGGTAGGTGTGCTAGTGGTAGGTGTAGTGGTAGGTGTGCGAGTGGTAGTGGTAGTGTGATAGTGGTAGTGGAAGGTGTAGTGGTAGGTGTGCTAGTGGTAGGTGTGATAGTGGTAGTGGTAGGTGTGATAGTGGTAGTGGTAGGTGTGGTAGTGGTAGGTGTAGTGGTAGGTGTGGTAGTGGTAGTGTTAGTGGTAGGTGTGATAGTGGTAGTGGTAGGTGTGGTAGTGGTAGGTGTGCTAGTGGTAGTGGTAGTGGTAGGTGTGCTAGTGGTAGTGTTAGTGGTAGGTGTGCTAGTGGTAGTGTTAGTGTGCTAGTGGTAGGTGTGCTAGTGGTAAATGTGGTAGTGGTAGGTGTAGTGGTAGGTGTGATAGTGGTACATGTAGTGTGGTAGTGGTAGGTGTGATAGTGGTAGGTGTGATAGTGGTAGTGTGCTAGTGATAGTGGTAGGTGTGATAGTGTTAGTGATAGTGGTAGGTATGCTAGTGGTAGGTGTGGTAGTGGTAGGTGTAGTGGTAGGTGTGGTAGTGGTAGTGTTAGTGTGCTAGTGGTAGGTGTGGTAGTGGTAGGTGTAGTGGTAGGTGTGCTAGTGGTAGTGGTAGGTGTGGTAGTGGTAGGTGTAGTGGTAGGTGTGGTAGTGGTAGGTGTAGTGGTAGGTGTGGTAGTGGTAGGTGTAGTGGTAGGTGTGCTAGGTGTAGTGGTAGGTGTGCTAGTGGTAGGTGTAGTAGTGGTATTGGTAGTGTTAGTAGTGTGATAGTGGTAGGTGTGCTAGTGGTAGGTGTGGTAGTGGTAGGTGTGGTACGTGTAGTGTGGTAGGTGTAGTGGTAGGTGTGCTAGTGGTAGGTGTGCTAGTGGTAGGTGTAGTGGTAGGTGTAGTGTGGTAGTGTTAGTGGTAGGTGTGATAGTGGTAGGTGTGGTGGTACGTGTAGTGTGGTAGTGGTAGGTGTAGTGGTAGGTGTGCTAGTGGTACGTGTAGTGTGGTAGTGGTAGGTTTAGTGGTACGTGTAGTGGTAGGTGTAGTGGTACGTGTAGTGGTAGTGGTAGGTGTAGTGGTACATGTAGTGGTAGTGGTAGGTGTGATAGTGGTAGGTGTAGTGTGGTAGTGGTAGGTGTGCTAGTGGTAGTGTTAGTGTGATAGTGGTAGTGTTAGTAGTGTGATAGTGGTAGGTGTAGTGGTAGGTGTGCTAGTGGTACGTGTAGTGTGGTAGTGGTAGGTGTAGTGTGGTAGTGGTAGTGTGATAGTGGTAGGTGTGCTAGTGGTACGTGTAGTGTGGTAGTGGTAGGTGTGGTAGTGGTAGGTGTAGTAGTGTTAGTGATAGTGGTACGTGTAGTGGTAGTGTTAGTGATAGTGGTACGTGTAGTGTGGTAGTGCCTTACCGCTGGGGTTGTAGGTGACACCATGTAGTAGTGGTAGGTGTAGTGTGGTAGTGGTAGTGTGGTAGTGGTAGCGGTAGTGGTACGTGTAGTGTGCTAGTGATAGGTGTGCTAGTGGTACGTGTAGTGGTAGTGGTAGTGCCTTACCGCTGGGGTCGTAGGTGATACCATGTAGTAGTGGTAGGTGTCGTGGTAATTGTACGTGTAGTGTGGTGGTGGTAGGTGTGCTAGTGATAGTGGTAGTAGTGATAGTGGTAGGTGTGCTAGTGGTACGTGTAGTGTGGTAGTGGTAGTGGTAGTGCCTTACCGCTGGGGTCGTAGGTGACACCATGTAGTAGTGGTAGTGTGGTAGTGGTAGAGGTGTAGAGTGGTAGTGGTAGGTGTAGTGTGGTAGGTGTGATAGTGGTACGTGTAGTGGTAGTGGTAGGTGTAGTGTGGTAGTGGTAGTGGTGGTGCCTTACCGCTGGGGTCGTAGGTGACACCATGTAGTAGTGGTAGGTGTGCTAGTGGTAGGTGTGGTAGTGGTAGTGGTAGGTGTGCTAGTGGTAGTGGTACGTGTAGTGTGGTAGTGGTAGTGTTAGTGGTAGGTGTAGTGGTACGTGTAGTGTGGTAGTGGTAGTGCCTTACCGCTGGGGTCGTAGGTGACACCATGTAGTAGTGGTAGGTGTGCTAGTGGTAGTGTGGTAGTGGTAGAAGCGTAGAGTGGTAGTGGTAGGTGTAGTGTGGTAGTGTAGTAGTGGTAGGTGTGGTAGTGGTAGGTGTAGTAGTGGTAGTGTGGTAGTGGTAGAGGTGTAGAGTGGTAGTGGTAGGTGTAGTGTGGTAGGTGTAGAGTAGTAGTGTAGTAGTGGTAGTGTGATAGTAGTAGTGGTAGGTGTAGTGGTACGTGTAGTGGTAGTGGTGGTGCCTTACCGCTGGGGTCGTAGGTGACACCATGTAGTAGTGGTAGGTGTAGTGGTAGGTGTGATAGTGGTAGGTGTGCTAGTGGTAGTGGTAGGTGTGATAGTGGTACGTGTAGTGGTAGTGGTGGTGCCTTACCGCTGGGGTCGTAGGTGACACCATGTAGTAGTGGTAGTGTGGTAGTGGTAGAGGTGTAGAGTGGTAGTGGTAGGTGTGGTAGTGGTACGTGTAGTGTGGTAGTGGTAGTGTTAGTGGTAGGTGTAGTGGTACGTGTAGTGTGGTAGTGGTAGTGGTGGTCCCTTACCGCTGGGGTCGTAGGTGACACCATGTAGTAGTGGTAGGTGTAGTAGTGGTAGGTGTAGTAGTAGGTGTGGTAGTGGTAGGTGTAGTAGTGTTAGTGCTAGTGGTAGGTGTGCTAGTGGTAGTGGTAGTGCCTTACCGCTGGGGTCGTAGGTGACACCATGTAGTAGTGGTAGTGTGGTAGTGGTACGTGTAGTGTAGTAGTGGTAGGTGTGGTAGGTGTGGTAGGTGTGATAGTGGTAGGTGTAGTGTGGTAGTGGTAGGTGTGATAGTGGTAGTGTGGTAGTGGTAGGTGTGGTCGTGGTAGGTGTGATAGTGGTAGGTGTGATAGTGGTACGTGTAGTGGTAGTGGTAGTGCCTTACCGCTGGGGTCGTAGGTGACACCATGTAGTAGTGATAGTGTTAGTGGTAGGTGTAGTGTGTGATATTGGTAGTGGTAGTGTTAGTGCCTTACCGCTGGGCTCGTAGGTGACACCATGTAGTAGTGGTAGGTGTGGTAGTGGTAGTGATAGTGGTAGGTGTAGTGGTAGTGTTAGTGTGGTAGTGTTAGTGTAGTAGTGGTAGTGGTAGTGCCTTACCGCTGGGGTCGTAGGTGACACCATGTAGTAGTGGTAGTGTTAGTGGTAGTGGTAGGTGTAGTGTGGTAGTGTAGTAGTGTTAGTGTGGTAGTGGTAGTGCCTTACCGCTGGGCTCGTAGGTGACACCATGTAGTAGTGGTAGGTGTGGTAGTGGTAGGTGTAGTGGTAGTGTTAGTGTGGTAGTGGTAGGTGTGGTAGTGGTAGGTGTGGTAGTGGTACGTGTAGTGGTAGTGTTAGTGTGGTAGTGGTAGGTGTAGTGTAGTAGGTGTGATAGTGGTAGTAGTAGGTGTAGTAGTGGTAGTGGTAGGTGTGGTAGTGTTAGTGTTGGTGCCTTACCGCTGGGCTCGTAGGTGACACCATGTAGTAGTAGTAGGTGTAGTAGTGTGGTAGTGGTAGGTGTGGTAGTGGTAGTGTAGTAGTGGTAGGTGTAGAGTGGTAGTGGTAGTGCCTTACCGATGGGCTCGTAGGTGACACCATGTAGTAGTGTTAGTGTGGTAGTGGTAGGTGTGTACGTGTAGTGGTACGTGTAGTAGTGGTAGTGGTACGTGTGGTAGTAGTAGTGTTAGTGTTGGTGTCTTACCGATGGGGTCGTAGGTGACACCATGTAGTAGTGGTAGTGTGCTAGTGGTAGGTGTAGTGGTAGTGGTAGTGTGGTAGTGGTATGTGTGGTGTTAGTGTTGGTGTTGGTGCCTTACCGATGGGGTCGTAGGTCACACCATGTAGTAGTAGTAGGTGTGTTAGTGTTGGTGTCTTACCGATGGGGTCGTAGGTGACACCATGTAGTAGTGTGTTAGTGTTGGTGTCTTACCGATGGGGTCGTAGGTGACACCATGTAGTAGTGGTAGTGTGCTAGTGGTAGTGTTAGTGTGGTAGTGGTAGGTGTGTTAGTGTTGGTGTCTTACCGATGGGGTCGTAGGTGACACCATGTAGTAGTAGTAGGTGTGTTAGTGTTGGTGCCTTACCGATGGGGTCGTAGGTGACACCATGTAGTGGTATGTGTGGTGTTAGTGTTGGTGTCTTACCGATGGGGTCGTAGATGACACCATGTAGTAGTGGTAGTGTGTTAGTGTTGGTGTCTTACCGATGGGGTCGTAGGTGACACCATGTAGTAGTAGTAGGTGTGGTAGTGCTGGTGCCTTACCGATGGGGTCGTAGGTGACACCATGTAGTAGTGGTAGGTGTAGTGTGGTAGTGGTAGGTGTAGTGGTACGTGTAGTGTGTTAGTGTTGGTGTCTTACCGATGGGGTCGTAGGTGACACCATGTAGTAGTAGTAGTGGTAGGTGTAGTGTGTGATATTGGTAGTGGTAGTGTTAGTGTGATAGTGTTAGTGTTAGTGTCTTACCGATGGGGTCGTAGGTCACACCATGTAGTAGTGTTAGTGTGGTAGTGTAGTAGTGGTAGTGTTAGTGTGCTAGTGGTATGTGTGGTGTTAGTGTTGGTGTCTTACCGATGGGGTCGTAGGTCACACCATGTAGTAGTGGTAGTGTGTTAGTGTTGGTGTCTTACCGATGGGGTCGTAGGTGACACCATGTAGTAGTAGTAGTGGTAGGTGTAGTGTGTGATATTGGTAGTGGTAGTGTTAGTGTGATAGTGTTAGTGTTAGTGTCATACCGATGGGGTCGTAGGTGACACCATGTAGTGGTATGTGTGGTGTTAGTGTTGGTGTCTTACCGATGGGGTCGTAGGTGACACCATGTAGTAGTGGTAGTGTGTTAGTGTTGGTGTCTTACCGATGGGGTCGTAGGTGACACCATGTAGTAGTGGTAGTGTGTTAGTGTTGGTGTCTTACCGATGGGGTCGTAGGTGACACCATGTAGTAGTGGTAGTGTGTAGTGGTAGTGTGTTAGTGTTGGTGTCTTACCGATGGGGTCGTAGGTGACACCATGTAGTAGTGTTAGTGTTGGTGTCTTACCGATGGGGTCGTAGGTCACACCATGTAGTAGTGGTAGTGTTGGTGTCTTACCGATGGGGTCGTAGGTCACACCATGTAGTAGTGGTAGTGTTGGTGTCTTACCGATGGGGTCGTAGGTCACACCATGTAGTAGTGGTAGTGTTGGTGTCTTACCGATGGGGTCGTAGGTCACACCATGTAGTAGTGGTAGTGTTGGTGTCTTACCGATGGGGTCGTAGGTCACACCATGTAGTAGTGGTAGTGTTGGTGTCTTACCGATGGGGTCGTAGGTCACACCATGTAGTAGTGGTAGTGTTGGTGTCTTACCGATGGGGTCGTAGGTCACACCATGTAGTAGTGGTAGTGTTGGTGTCTTACCGATGGGGTCGTAGGTCACACCATGTAGTAGTGGTAGTGTTGGTGTCTTACCGATGGGGTCGTAGGTCACACCATGTAGTAGTGGTAGTGTTGGTGTCTTACCGATGGGGTCGTAGGTCACACCATCTGCTGGACCCTGCAAGCTGCGGCGACGGCTGAGGCGGTGTGAGGGGTGGCCTGGAGGGGGGTGGTGAGGACACGGGGGGAGACGTCTCACACTCACCACTCGCTCACCAATCACTCACCACTCGCTCACTACTCGCTCACCACGCTCACCACTCGCTCACCACTCGCTCACCACACCGCTCACCACTCACTCACCACACCACTCACCACTCACTCACCACACTCACCACTCGCTCGTTCACCACATTCACCACACTCACTCACCACTCGCTCACCACGCTCACCACTCGCTCACCAATCACTCACCACTCGCTCACCACTCGCTCACCACTCGCTCACCACTCACTCACCACACTCACCACTCGCTCGCTCACCACATTCACCACACTCACTCACCACTCGCTCACCACGCTCACCACTCGCTCACCACACTCACCACTCGCTCACCAATCACTCACCACTCGCTCACCAATCACTCACCGCTCGCTCACCACTCGCTCACCACTCACTCAGCACTCGCTCACCACGCTCACTCACCGCTCGCTCACCATGCTCACCACTCGCTCACCACTCACTCACCACTCGCTCACCACGCTCACTCACCGCTCGCTCACCACGCTCACTCACCGCTCGCTCACCACTTGCTCACCACGCTCACCACTCGCTCGCTCACCACACTCACCAATCACTCACCACACCACTCACCCCAACATACTCACTCACCCCAAAACTCACCCCAACACACTCACCGCTCGCTCACCACTCACTCACCACACCACTCACCCCAACACACTCACTCACCCCAAAACTCACCCCAACACACTTACCACTCGCTCACCACTCGCTCGCTCACCACACTCACCACACCCGCTCACCACTCGCTCACCGCTCACCTCGCTCACCACGCTCACCACTCGCTCACCACACCACTCACCCCAACACACTCACCCCAAAACTCACCCCAACACACTCACCACTCGCTCACTACACTCACCAATCACTCACCACACCACTCACCCCAACATACTCACTCACCCCAAAACTCACCCCAACACACTCACCGCTCGCTCACCACTCACTCACCACACCACTCACCCCAACACACTCACTCACCCCAAAACTCACCCCAACACACTCACCACTCGCTCACCACTCGCTCGCTCACCACACTCACCACACCCGCTCACCACTCGCTCACCGCTCACCTCGCTCACCACGCTCACCACTCGCTCACCACACCACTCACCCCAACACACTCACCCCAAAACTCACCCCAACACACTCACCACTCGCTCACTACACTCACCAATCACTCACCCCACCACTCACCCCAACACACTCACTCACCCCAAAACTCACCCAACACACTCACCGCTCGCTCACCACTTGCTCACCACTCGCTCACCACACTCACCAATCACTCACCACACCACTCACCCCAACACACTCACCCCACCACACTCACTCACCCCAACACTCACCCCACCACACTCACCCCACCACACTCACTCACCCCACCACTCACCCTACCACACTCACCACCATCACACTCCCTCCACACACTCACCCCACCACACTCACTCACCCCAACACTCACCCCCACCACACTCACCACCACCACACTCACACTCACCCCCACCACCACCACACTCACCACCACCCCCACCACACTCACCACCACCACACTCACCACCACCACCACTCACCACCACCACCACTCACCCCCACCAACAACAACCGCCATTCGCCACTAAGTGGCGGTGACGTCACCACGACGCTTGTGCCAGGCTATGTGCACCCTGAGGCCACGTGAAGTGTCGAACGCCCGCTGGCAGGAGGTCACGGGGCAGACCCAGCAGGTGCCACGGGTCGACTGACTGAGATGACTGAGATGACTGGCTGATGCACCACCTGTGCCCCCTACTGTGCCAACCTGCTGTGGTTTAGCCACCCGGCGCTCCGCTCGTTGTTGTGAGCGTCGCTCCTCCGCCCTCCGTTGTTGTTGGAGGGCGACTGCCTCCAACTGCCCAGTAGCATCCTTCACGAGCCTCCTCCACAGCGGCCGATCTTGACACCACTGGTACCGGTCATCGGCAAGTCCACTCAGCTCCACGTCCTCCTGTACCATATCACTCCATCTCTTCTCTAGCCCGTGCCGCGCCCGTTTAGCCCCCTCAATCCGGCCGAACAAAAGCTGTTTCGGCATGCGGTGGCTGGGCATGCGGGCTACATGACCCAGCCATCGCAGCCTTGCCCGCCGGAGGAGCTCACCGATGGGACCTTGCCCAGATCTTTCAAGGATTTGTGAGCTCCTCACACAATCCAGTCTGGTTAAACCCAGGATGGATCGTAGGCAGGCCAGCCTAAATGTTTCTAACCGGCGAAGATGTTCCATTAGGGGGGTCCACGTTTCGCAAGCGTAGAGAAGGGAGGGAATGACCGTGGCCGAGAAGACCTGAAGCTTAGTGCGGAGCGACAGACCAGGTAGCTTCCACACAGCGTTACGCAACCGATGAAAAGATATTGCCACTCGACTGATTCGGAGTGAGACCTCTGCTGTTAAACTGGAGCCAGTCATAAGCACACTGCCCAGGTATAGGAAACTCTCCACTGGCTCCACAACTGCCCCATCACCGAACGGGAGTTGTGGGGGTGGAGTGTCCGATGGTACAAAATACCCAGGCAGGTGCTTAGTTTTGGTGGGGCTGATGGTAAGGCCCCACCTCTTAGTGGCACGCTCCAGTCTCAGCAGCAGCGTCTCCAACTCCTCCTCTGACTGAGCAGCTATTACCAAATCATCAGCATACATAACGTGGTTGAGCAATAGGGAGCCATCCCTTGACCACACCCGGGCATCGATCAGCCTCCCATTATATCTGTACCATATGGAGATTCCCCCGGTACAGCTATTGAAGGCTTCACGAACTACGTGGTCAAAATAGATGTTAAATAATGTGGGAGCCAGAGGACATCCCTGTTGCACCCCAAGGTGTACAGGGAATGGCTCTGACTCCTGGCCACGTAGTTTTACCCGGGCCCGCTCACCATCATGAAGGTCCTCAATGATCGTGAGCAGAGGGTCAGGTACTCCAAAAGCACGAAGAACGACCCAGAGCCCAGGCCTACTGATGGTATCATAGGCCTTGACCAGGTCAATAAAGCAGAGATGTAGGTCTTGTTGGAATTCCCTACACCTCTGCTGTAGCAGACGGACAGAAAATATGGCATCTGTGCAGGACCGCCCTATCCTGAAACCGCATTGGGGCTCTGCAAGCCTCTCCTCAGCGTGCCTGGCAAGGCGATGCTGAATAATCCTTGCCAGGACCTTTCCCGGCACACTGAGGAGTGAGATGCCCCTGTAGTTGTTACAGTCTGTGCGGTCCCCCTTCTTAAAAAGGGGGACCACCAGGGCATCCTTCCCATCCTGCGGAACCCGTCCAGTGGTCCAGACTGTTGTTATGATGTCATATAGGGCAGTCTGTGCACAAACGCCACCCTCCCTCAGCATTTCGCTTGGGAGATCATCTCTGCCCGCTGCCTTTCCTGGTCTCAGACTCCGGATCGCCTTCAGTACTTCCTCAACAGATGGCACCTCAGCCAGCCACTCACAGGGGGTGACTTCTTCCAATATTTGAGGCACCGCAGCCTCAGCAGGGTCATCCTCACTTTGTGCCACGATGTTTTCCTGGCTGAGGGATTTTCCCTTCCCCAGGACCTCACAGAAATGCTCAGCAAATCTGCAAACCTGTTCCTGGGGGTCGGAGATTGGATCACCGTTTTTCCCCTAATGATGGTAATAGGTGTGGTGCTGCAGGTTACTTTTTTGATGGAGTTAAATAGAGATTTGTGATCACGGGCCACTGAGGCAGACTCCATCTCCTCAGCAACCCGCGACCACCACCCATCCTTACAGCGCCTCACGGCTCTCCGAACCTCCGAGCGAAGGCTGCGGTAAGCCTCCTCATTCTCTGACGTGGGATTCTGTAGCCGATGGCAGTGGGCCTGTCGCTTTTTCTCAACCATCCTGAACACCTCCTCTGTCAGCCAGGGTCTCTGGGGAGGTCTGGACCGCGTACCCAAAGCAGCCATTGCAGCTGCATGAGTCACAGTCCTAAACCTCGCCCATTTACCCTCGACATCAGGAGGAGTCGGGGACGATGCCAATCCCAGCCGCAAGCGATGATGAAATTCTCGCTTGCAACTTTCATCAGATAACTGAGACCAGGCCACTTTAGGTCGGAATGGGGTCCTGGGTGTACACCCACCACCGGAGTGGAAGAATGGCAGGCGCATCTTACAGATGACTAGTCGATGGTCAGAGGGCAGATCAGCTCCACGGTAGGTCCTGGTGTCAAGGACATGGGCTCGCATCCGCTGGTCCGTCACTATGTAGTCCAGCAGATGTTCTTGCTTGGACCCGGCATGCATCCATGAGGTTGTGTGGATGCGCCGATGCCGGAACAGCGTGTTGGTAATTACAAGCCCATGGGCTGCACAAAAATCCAGCAGCCTCCTACCGTTGTTATTGAGCTGATCTGGCCCATGCCCTCCAATCACTCCAGACCAGGTGCCAGTATCATGACCAACTCGGGCATTGAAGTCACCCAACATGATGACTCTATCCCGAGGGGCCACTTTAGCCAGCACCTGTGACAGGAGGTCATAGAAGGCATCTGACTCATCGGCTTTGCCTGCATCCCTCCACGGATGTTCATCTTCTGTGGGGGCATAAGTAACCACGACCACCATTCCTCACCTCCGGTTGATGGGAAGGCGAGCCCAAAGTAGCCTGGGGCTTACAGCTTCCCACACCTCACCACCACGCTCCCACACCTCCTTCATTCTTTTGTTCAAAAGAAGACCCACACCCTGTTGTTTGGCAGTCTGCTGCCCCGAGTAGAGGACTGTCCACCCCTCATGGTGGCAGGAGTTAGAGCCGGTCCACCGGACCTCCTGAATGCCGCAGAGATCCAGGCGGTACCGGTCCAGCTCCCGACAGAGGAGTGGCAGCCTCTCCTCCGCAGTGAGCATTCGAACATTCCACGTGGCCACCCGTAGTGGCTCACTCCAACACACTCACCCCAACACTCACCACCACCACACTCACCACCACCACACTCACCCCACCACTCACCCCACCACTCACTCCATCACACTCACCACCACCACCATCACACTCACCACCACCACCACCACCACTCACCCCCACCACACTCACCACCACCACACTCACCACCACCACCACACTCACCACCACACTCACCACCACCACACTCACCCCCCACCACCACACTCACCACCCCACTCACCACCACCACACTCACCACCACACTCACCACCACACTCACACCACACTCACCACCCCACTCACCACCCCACTCACCACCACACTCACCACCACCACTCACCACCACACTCACCGGGCGAGCAGCAGGATGAGGACGACGAGGAGGAGGGCGAGGAGGGCGATGGGGAGCAGCAGCAGGAGGACGATGAGGAGGCTGTGGCGACGTTCACAGGAGCCGGGGAGGGTGTGGCACCGTCAGACGCCGGCCTCTGATGCTGCTGCTGATGTTGTTGTAGCTGCTGCTGTTGTTGTTGTAGTTGTTGTTGTTGTTGTAGTTGTTGTTGTTGTTGTGGTGTCTTCATGCGACGTTGCACAGCAGCAACGATCCGCTCGCCCTGCGCGTCCAGGTAGCCCATCTTGGCGATGAATGCGAGGGCTGAGTCAAGGCCGCGGTTGTTTGTCTGTCGCAGTGCAGACACAGCCATGTCCTGTGGTGGTGGTGGGGGGGTGGTGGTGGTGGTGGTGGGGGGGTGGTGGTGGGGGGGGGGTGGTGGTGGGGAGGGGACAATCAAGTGGCGAGGGAGTTGGTGAGTTAGCCGATGCCTCCACCCAGCACCCAGTGTCTCTCTCTCACCCCACCAGCACCACCACCCAGCACCCACCCACCACCACCCAGCACCCACCCACCACCACCACCCACCACCCAGTGTCTCTCTCCACACCACCACCACCACCACCCAGCACCCAGTGTCTCTCTCCCCTTCACCACCCACCACCCAGTGTCACACCCCACCACCACCACCCACCCACCACCCAGTGTCTCTCTCCCCACCACCACCACCACCCACCCAGTGTCTCTCTCTCCCCACCACCACCACCCAGTGTCACACCCCACCACCACCACCCACCCACCACCCAGTGTCTCTCTCCCCACCACCACCACCACCCACCCAGTGTCTCTCTCCCCACCACCACCACCCACCCACCACCCAGTGTCTCTCTCCCCACCACCACCACCACCACTACCCACCTAGTGTCTCTCTCACCACCACCACCACCACCACCCACCCACCACCCAGTGTCTCTCTCACCACCACCACCACCACCCACCCACCACCACCACCCAGTGTCTCTCTCCCCACCACCAGCACCACCACCCACCCACCACCACCACCCAGTGTCTCTCTCCCCACCACCAGCACCACCACCCAGTGTCTCACCCCACCACCACCACCACCACCCAGTGTCTCTCTCACCACCACCACCACCCACCACCCAGTGTCTCCCCCCACCACCACCACCACCACCCAGTCTCTCCCCACCACCACCACCCAGTGTCTCCCCTCCCACCACCACCACCCACCACCCAGTGTCTCTCTCTCCCCACCACCACCCACCCACCACCCAGTGTCTCCCCACCACCACCACCACTACCACCCAGTGTCTCCCCCCACCACCACCACCACCCAGTGTCTCCCCCCACCACTACCACCCAGTGTCCCCCCCCCACCACCCAGTGTCTCCCCCCCCCCACCACCACCACCCACCACCCAGTGTCTCTCTCTCCCCACCACCACCACCACCCAGTGTCTCTTCCCCCACCACCACCACCACCACCCAGTGTCTCCCCACCACCACCACCCAGTCTCCCCCCCCCACCACCACCACCACCCAGTGTCTCCCCCCACCACCACCACCACCCAGTCTCCCCCCACCATCACCACGTCTCCCCCCCCCCACCACCACCACCACCCAGTGTCTCCCCCCACCACCACCACCCAGTGTCTCCCCCCACCACCACCACCCAGTGTCTCCCCCCCCACCACCACCCAGTGTCTCCCCCCACCACCACCACCCAGTGTCTCCCCCCCCCACCACCACCCAGTGTCTCCCCCCACCACCACCACCCAGTGTCTCCCCCCACCACCACCACGTGTCTCCCCCCCCCACCACCACCACCCAGTGTCTCTCTCCCCCCACCACCACTACCACCCAGTCTCCCCCCCCCACCACCACCACCACCCAGTGTCTCCCCCCACCACCACCACCACCCAGTCTCCCCCCCCCCACCACGTCTCCCCCCACCCCCCCCCCACCACCACCACCACCCACAGACTCACCTGTGCCACCCCGGCGCTCAGCAAATCTGCCAGCAGCTGTCTGTTGACGTCTCCCCCTCCTCCTCCTCCTCCACTCCCCCCGTGTCTCCCCGACAACTCTCCCTGCTGTCCCTGTCCCTGCTGTCCCTGTCCCTGCTGTCCCTGCTGCTGTCCCTGTCCCTGCTGCTGCTGCTGCTGTCCGGTGCCGTCAGCCGCGAAGGGCAGCAGCGAGTTCCGAATCTCCTGCAGGGCTTTCTGATGCGAACCAAAGCGCTGCTGCTGTTGATGCTGCTGTTGTTGATGTTGTTGTTGATGTTGTTGTGCCCACGGGCCCCCCGCGCTCGCCTGAGCGCCTCCCCGGGGCGACGCCGCCTCCACCCCGGCGGGCTTGGCCAGGCAAGGCGCGGGCTGAGCCGAGGCCCCGGAGGCGCCCGACGCCTCGGAGCCGCCGCGGAGGCCGCGGATGTTGTCGCGGATTTCCTGCAGCATCTGGCGGCTGCTGGGAGGGTACGGCGACGCCGGGAAGGTCTTGGGCCTCATCGTTGTTGTTGTTGTGGTTGTTGTTGTGGTGGTTGTTGTTGTGGTTGTTGTTGTTGTGGTTGTGGTTGGCCTAGGCCCGGACTCGGTTCCCCCTTAAACCCTAACCCTGGGGGGGGGGAGAGGGGGCAACCCGCCGCTTCGCGTTTCCTTGATGCTGCGTGATGACGTCACGCGCGGCGGCGGCGCCGCCGGACCTTGCGCGATGACGTCACTGTCGCGACGCTCCAAACGCTTCTCGACGGAGAGGTGGGAAAGCGTGCGTTGCGCGTTGACGTCACCGTCGCAAGCAAGCCCCTCCCCCCTCCCCTACCCCCCCCCCCGCGTTCCGTGAGTTGGAATGGGGAAGGGACGTGGTGTGCGCGATGACGTCACAACGCCCCGGGGTTCGTACGCGATGACGTCGCCACGCCCCGGGGTTTCATTCGCGGTGACGTCGCCACGCCCCGGAGTTTCATTCGCGGTGACGTAGGCCTCCCCCCCACACGCCCAGGTGCGTTCGTTCGTGCGCGGTGACATCACCACGCGCGGGTACGTTCATACGCAATGACGTCACCGCGCCCGGGTTCGTTCGCGGTGACGTCGCCGGCCGCGCCCGGGTTCGTCCGTGCGCGATGACGTCACCGCGCCCGGATTCGTGCGCGGTGACGTCATCGCGCGCTCACCCCCCCCCTCCTACCACCCTACCCAAGATGGCCGCCCCTCTCATCTCATCTTTCCGCTATTCGCGGCTTAATCTCGAACGTGAATTTAGGCGACGTTCGCCGTCAAACTAATCGCTCGCAACTCCTTATCCGTCGTTAACACTCGCGACTTTACCTCAAAATTACATTCGCTTCACGGTAAAATTGTTTATTTATTTATTATTCCCTCCCTACCCCTACCCCCCTTCTCGTCACCCCGCAAAACTCGCACAGGCAGCGGGAGACGGGAGAGTGGAACAGGCGGTGGTGGTTGTGGTTGTTGTGGTGGTTGTTGTGGTGATTGTTGTGGTTGTGGTGGTGGTTGTTGTTGTTGTGGTTAAGGTGGTTGTGGTGGTGGTGGTTGTGGTTGTTGTGGTTAAGGTGGTGGTTGTTGTGGTGGTTGTTGTGGTTGTGGTGGTTGTTGTGGTGGTGGTGGTTGTTGTGGTGGTGGTTGTGGTGGTGGTTGTGGTAGTGGTGGTTGTTGTGGTGGTGGTTGTGGTGGTGGTTGTGGTGGTGCTGGTGGACATCCACCATCTCTGTGTGTGCCACAGTGCCCCCAGTAGCCTTCATAGACGCTGCTGCTGGTGCTACTAACACAGCACTTGCCCCTACAGCCCTGCTAGAGGCTACCTGGGGGAGCTTTGTCACTGTGTGTGTGTCACAGCACTTGCCCCTACAGCCCTGCTAGAGGCTACCTGGGGGAGCTTTGTCTGTGTGTGTGTAACAGCACTTGCCCCTACAGCCCTGCTAGAGGCTACCTGGGGGAGCTTTGTCTGTGTGTGTCACTACACTTGCCCCTACAGCCCTGCTAGAGGCTACCTGGGGGAGCTTTGTGTGTCACAGCACTTGCCCCTACAGCCCTGCTAGAGGCTACCTGGGGGAGCTTTGTCTGTGTGTGTGTAACAGCACTTGCCCCTACAGCCCTGCTAGAGGCTACCTGGGGGAGCTTTGTCTGTGTGTGTGTAACAGCACTTGCCCCTACAGCCCTGCTAGAGGCTACCTGGGGGAGCTTTGTCTGTGTGTGTCACTACACTTGCCCCTACAGCCCTGCTAGAGGCTACCTGGGGGAGCTTTGTCACTGTGTGTGTGTCACAGCACTTGCCCCTACAGCCCTGCTAGAGGCTACCTGGGGGAGCTTTGTCTGTGTGTGTGTAACAGCACTTGCCCCTACAGCCCTGCTAGAGGCTACCTGGGGGAGCTTTGTCTGTGTGTGTCACTACACTTGCCCCTACAGCCCTGCTAGAGGCTACCTGGGGGAGCTTTGTCACTGTGTGTGTGTCACAGCACTTGCCCCTACAGCCCTGCTAGAGGCTACCTGGGGGTGCTTTGTGTGTGTATCAGCACTTGCCCCTACAGCCCTGCTAGAGGCTACCTGGGGGAGCTTTGTCTGTGTGTGTAACAGCACTTGCCCCTACAGCCTGCTAGAGGCTACCTGGGGGAACTTTGTCTGTGTCTGTGTAACAGCACTTGCCCCTGGGGGAGCTTTGGTGGAGTCGACAAGAAGTCACCCACAAGTCACCCACAAGTCACCCACAAGTCGCCCACAAGTCTCCCACAAGTCACCCACAAGTCACCCACAAGTCTCCCACAAGTCACCCGCAAGTCTCCCACAAGTCACCCACAAGTCACCCACAAGTCGCCCACAAGTCACCCACAAGTCACCCACAAGTCGCCCACAAGTCACCCACAAGTCGCCCACAAGTCTCCCGCAAGTCGCCCACAAGTCACCCACAAGTCTCCCACAAGTCACCCGCAAGTCTCCCACAAGTCGCCCACAAGTCACCCACAAGTCACCCGCAAGTCACCCACAAGTCACCCACAAGTCGCCCACAAGTCTCCCACAAGTCACCCGCAAGTCGCCCACAAGTCTCCTGCAAGTCGCCCACAAGTCACCCACAAGTCACCCACAAGTCACCCGCAAGTCACCCACAAGTCACCCAAAAGTCGCCCACAAGTCTCCCACAAGTCACCCGCAAGTCACCCACAAGTCACCCACAAGTCTCCCACAAGTCACCCACAAGTCACCCACAAGTCTCCCACAAGTCTCCCGCAAGTCACCCACAAGTCACCCACAAGTCTCCCACAAGTCGCCCACAAGTCACCCACAAGTCACCCACAAGTCTCCCACAAGTCGCCCACAAGTCACCCACAAGTCACCCACAAGTCACCCGCAAGTCGTCCGCAAGTCTCCCACAAGTCACCCACAAGTCACCCACAAGTCTCTCACAAGTCACCCACAAGTCTCCCACAAGTCACCCACAAGTCACCCACAAGTCTCCCACAAGTCACCCACAAGTCACCCACAAGTCTCCCGCAAGTCTCTCACAAGTCACCCACAAGTCGCCCACAAGTCGCCCACAAGTCACCCACAAGTCGCCCACAAGTCACCCACAAGTCACCCACAAGTCGCCCACAAGTCACCCACAAGTCTCCCACAAGTCACCCACAAGTCACCCACAAGTCTCCCACAAGTCGCCCACAAGTCACCCACAAGTCACCCACAAGTCACCCGCAAGTCGTCCGCAAGTCTCCCACAAGTCACCCACAAGTCACCCACAAGTCTCTCACAAGTCACCCACAAGTCTCCCGCAAGTCACCCACAAGTCACCCACAAGTCTCCCACAAGTCACCCACAAGTCACCCACAAGTCTCCCGCAAGTCTCTCACAAGTCACCCACAAGTCGCCCACAAGTCGCCCACAAGTCACCCACAAGTCGCCCACAAGTCACCCACAAGTCACCCACAAGTCGCCCACAAGTCACCCACAAGTCTCCCGCAAGTCACCCACAAGTCTCCCGCAAGTCTCTCACAAGTCACCCACAAGTCACCCGCAAGTCTCCCACAAGTCACCCACAAGTCACCCACAAGTCTCCCGCAAGTCTCTCACAAGTCACCCACAAGTCGCCCACAAGTCGCCCACAAGTCACCCACAAGTCGCCCACAAGTCTCCCACAAGTCACCCACAAGTCACCCACAAGTCTCCCGCAAGTCACCCACAAGTCACCCACAAGTCACCCACAAGTCACCCACAAAGTCACCCACAAGTCTCCCACAAGTCACCCACAAGTCACCCACAAAGTCACCCACAAGTCTCCCACAAGTCACCCACAAGTCACCCACAAGTCACCCACAAGTCTCCCGCAAGTCTCTCACAAGTCACCCACAAGTCACCCGCAAGTCGCCCACAAGTCACCCACAAGTCGCCCACAAGTCACCCACAAGTCACCCACAAGTCGCCCACAAGTCACCCACAAGTCTCCCGCAAGTCACCCACAAGTCTCCCGCAAGTCTCTCACAAGTCACCCACAAGTCACCCGCAAGTCTCCCACAAGTCACCCACAAGTCACCCACAAGTCTCCCGCAAGTCTCTCACAAGTCACCCACAAGTCGCCCACAAGTCGCCCACAAGTCACCCACAAGTCGCCCACAAGTCACCCACAAGTCACCCACAAGTCGCCCACAAGTCACCCACAAGTCTCCCACAAGTCACCCACAAGTCACCCACAAGTCTCCCGCAAGTCACCCACAAGTCACCCACAAGTCACCCACAAGTCACCCACAAGTCTCCCACAAGTCACCCACAAGTCACCCACAAAGTCACCCACAAGTCTCCCACAAGTCACCCACAAGTCACCCACAAGTCACCCACAAGTCTCCCGCAAGTCTCTCACAAGTCACCCACAAGTCACCCGCAAGTCGCCCGCATGAGCCGCCCGCCCCCCCGCGTCGCCCTGGCGACGGCCCTGGCCGTCGCCGTGGCGACCGCCCTCCTCTTCCTCCACCTGCAGCTCCGTCTCCACGGCAACGCCTCGGCCCTGGGTCCCGGGGGGGCGGCCACGGACGATGAGGAGGACGACAAGGAGGAGGAGGAGGTGGACGAGCGGGCGACGGACGACGCCGCCGCCCGCGAGACGGTGGGCGACTTCGCCAGAGTCGCCCGCTCCCTCGGCCTCCACCCGACCCTCGTCGACCCCCGCGTCCTGGCGGCCCTGGCGGAGGCCGACGACCCGAAACGTCGGGGGACGTCCGACGGCGACACCGGCGGCGGCGGCCTTGACCGCGGGCCGCTGGACGTCGCCCCGCGAGTCCACCTCCTTCGCGCTGCCCGAGTGGGCCTGGGCCGGCGGCCGCGGCCCCCTGCTGCAGGCCTTCGGCGGCCGTCTCGGCTGGCGCTGGGCCGTCGCCCGCGGCGACGACCCCCGGGTCGACGACCCCGCGGCGCCGTCGGTCGACCTCCACGTCCTACTGCAGCCTCCTCCTCCTCCTCGTCCTCCTCCTCCTCCTTCTCATCGTCACGGTCGTCGGCTCGGGGGCTGCCGCCGGCGGGGATTGGCGGCTCCGTCGCCGCCGTCCGCCAACTCATCCTCCGCCTCCGCCGCCTCCTCATCATCCTCCGCCTCCTCCTCCTCGTCGTGCCGCTCGCCGCGTCCGCACCTCATCCACATCGTCATCCTGTACGCGCGGGGATACTCGGCCACGTTCACCGACGCCTCGTCGTCCTCGTCCACCTCGTCGTCGTCCAACTCATCCACCACCACCACCTCGTCGTCGTCCACGCGCCTCCTCTGGTTCGGGGCGCTCCGTGCCCGCGGCCCGGCCGAGCGCCGGAGCCTCCGTCGCCTGGACGCCGACCTCGCCCGCCTGAGCTACGGCCGCCACCCCCGGTGCCTTCCCCTCCTACCTCCTCTACTCCACCACCTCCTCATCCTCATCCTCCTCCTCGTCCTCCTCCTCCACCCCCGCGCCGCGCATCCTCAGCGGCGTCCCCCTCGCCCTCCCGGCCGCCGCGCCGCGCCGCTTCCTGAGCGAGGCCGCGGCCTCGCGGTTCCTCGAGTGCGACCGGCTCGCGGCCCGGCGCTACCCGCGGGGACTTCCCGGACCCCACCGACGGCGGCCCCGAGGGGGCCTCCGAGGCCGCCGGCCGCGTCCGGCGGTTCCGCCGCGGGGCCCGCGCCGCCCTGCTGGAGGCCGGCGCGGCCCTGGCGTCGGTGGCGGTGCCGCACTGGCTGAGCAGCGGCACGTGCCTGGGCTGGCTGCGGCAGTGCGACGTGGTGACGGCGGCCGCGGCCGGTGGCGCCGGTGGCGGCGGCGCCGACGTCGACCTGGGCGTCTGGGCCGCCGACTTCTCGCCCGCGCTGCTCGCCGCCCTGCTCGGCCGCGGCTTCCGGCTGCGGCACAAGTTCGGCCTGGTGGAGGACGGCTTGGAGCTGTCGCTGATGGCGCCGGCGGCGGGCGGCGGCGGCGTGAAATTGGACGTCTTCTTCTTCTACGAGGAGCCGGACGACGAGGGAGGCGGTGGAGGAGGCGGTGGAGGAGGCGGTGGAGGAGGCGGTGGTGGAGGAGGCGGTGGTGGCGGTGGAGGCGGCGGAGGCGGTGGCGGCGGTGGAGGCGGTGGAGGCGGTGGAGGCGGCGGTGGTGGAGATGAAGGTGGTCGTGGGGTCCGTGGAGGTGGAGATTATGGAGATGGTGGAGTAGGAGGAGGAGTTGTTGGTGGTGGAGGCGGTGGTGGCGGTGGTGGAGCAGGAGGTGGCGGTGGAGGTGGCGGAGCAGCGGGAAGAGGGGTTGTTGGAGGCGGCGGTGTAGCAGGAGGCGGTGCAGCAGCAGCAGGAGGAGGCGGCGGTGGAGGAGGAGGCGGTGGTGGCGGAGCAGCAGCAGGAGGAGGAGGCGGAGGAGGAGGAGGCGGTGGTGGAGGTGGCGGAGCAGCAGCAGCAGCAGAAGCAGGAGCAGGAGGCGGTGGAGGCCGCCGTGGGCCCGTGTGGAACGGCGGCACCCAGAGCCGCACCGGCCTCCGCTTCGAGTTCTCCTTCGGCCGCTTCTCGCTGTGCCGCGGCCTGCTCCTGGGCGTGCCCGTGTCCGTGCCGTGCCCGCCCCGGCCCTACGTGGAGGCCAACTACGGCCCCGGCTGGCGAAGGCCGCCGCCGCGGCCGTGGGACTGGAAGCGCTCGGCCTTCAACGTGCGCCGGGCCGGGGCCTGGAGCCCGCGGGACGCCCAGAGGGCCGTGCAGACCTTCCTCTAGCGGCCCGGAGGCTCAAGGCGGTGGCTGTGGTTGTGGTGGTGGTGGTTGTGGTGGTTGTGGTTGTGGTGGTGGGTGGTGGTGGTTGTGGTGGGGGGGTAGCTGTGGGGGGTAGCTGTGGGGGGTAGCTGTGGGGGGTAGCGTTGTGAGGGGTACCTCTAGGGGTACCGCTAGGGGTGCCGCTAGGGGTACCTCTAGGGGTACCTCTAGGGGTACCTCTGGGGGTACCGCTAGGGGTAGGGTGGTGGTGGTTGTGGTGGGGGGGTAGCTGTGGGGGGTAGCTGTGGGGGGTAGCTGTGGGGGGTAGCGTTGTGAGGGGTACCTCTAGGGGTACCGCTAGGGGTGCCGCTAGGGGTACCTCTAGGGGTACCTCTAGGGGTACCTCTGGGGGTACCGCTAGGGGTACCGCTGTGGGTGCCGCTAGGGGTACCGCTAGGGGTGCCGCTAGGGGTACCTCTGCGGGTACCTCTAGGGGTACCTCTGGGGGTACTTCTAGGGGTACCTCTGGGGGTACCTCTAGGGTTACCTCTAAGGGTACCTCTGGGGGTACCTCTAGGGGTACCGCTAGGGGTACCTCTAGGGGTACCGCTGGGGGTACTGCTAGAGGTACCTCTAGGGGTACCGCTGGGGGTACTGCTAGAGGTACCTCTAGGGGTCCCTCTAGGGGTACCTCTAGGGGTACCTCTAGGGGTACCGCTAGGGGTACCTCTAGGGGTACCGCTGGGGGTACCTCTAGAGGTACCTCTGGGGGTACCTCTGGGGGTACCTCTGGGGGTACCGCTGGGGTAGTACGTCACCCGGACGTCACGCTCACTGTGACGTCACTGACGGTGACGTCAATCTCACTGTGATGTCAATCTCACTGTGATGTCAATACAAAATACCCCCCTCTCTCCCCGCCTCTCGACGCACTGTTCTCAGTTTGTGTGTGAGAGTCTCAGTTTGTGTGAGAGTCTCTGAGTCTCTGTGTGAGTCTCTGTGTGAGTCTCTGTGTGAGAGTCTCTGTGTGAGAGTCTCTGTGTGAGAGTCTCTGTGTGAGAGTCTCTGAGTCTCTGTGTGAGAGTCTCTGTGTGAGAGTCTCTGTGTGAGTCTCTGAGTCTCTGTGTGAGAGTCTCTGTGTGAGAGTCTCTGTGTGAGAGTCTCTGTGTGAGAGTCTCTGCGTGAGTCTCTGAGTCTCTGTGTGAGTCTCTGTGTGAGTCTCTGTGTGAGAGTCTGTGAGAGTCTGTGTGAGAGTCTCTGTGTGAGCGTCTCTGTGTGAGAGTCTCTGAGTCTCTGTGTGAGAGTCTCTGTGTGAGTCTCTGTGTGAGCGTCTCTGTGTGAGAGTCTCTGAGACTCTGTGTGAGTCTCTGAGACTCTGTGTGAGTCTCTGAGTCTCTGTGTGTGAGTCTCTGTGTGAGAGTCTGTGTGAGAGTCTCTGAGTCTGTGTGTGAGTCTCTGTGTGAGAGTCTCTGAGTCTCTGTGTGAGAGTCTCTGTGTGAGAGTCTTTGTGTGTGAGTCTCTGTGTGAGTCTCTGTGTGAGAGTCTCTGTGTGAGAGTCTCTGAGTCTCTGTGTGAGTGTCTCAGTTTGTGTGTGAGAGTCTCTGAGTCTTTGTGCGAGAGTCTCTGAGTCTCTGTGTGAGAGTCTCTGTGTGAGTCTCTGTGTGAGAGTCTCTGTGTGTGAGTCTCTGTGTGAGAGTCTCTGAGTCTCTGTGTGAGAGTCTCTGAGTCTCTGTGTGAGAGTCTCTGAGTCTCTGTGTGAGAGTCTCTGTGTGTGAGTCTTTGTGCGAGAGTCTCTGAGTCTCTGTGTGTGAGTCTCTGTGTGAGAGTCTCTGTGTGTGAGTCTCTGTGTGAGAGTCTCTGTGTGTGAGTCTCTGTGTGAGAGTCTCTGAGTCTCTGTGTGTGAGTCTCTGTGTGTGAGTCTCTGAGTCTCTGTGTGAGAGTCTCTGTGTGAGAGTCTTTGTGTGTGAGTCTCTGTGTGAGTCTCTGTGTGAGAGTCTCTGTGTGAGAGTCTCTGAGTCTCTGTGTGAGAGTCTTTGTGTGAGAGTCTCTGTGTGAGAGTCTCTGAGTCTCTGTGTGAGAGTCTCTGAGTCTCTGTGTGAGAGTCTCTGAGTCTCTGTGTGAGAGTCTCTGAGTCTCTGTGTGAGAGTCTCTGAGTCTCTGTGTGAGAGTCTCTGAGTCTCTGTGTGAGCGTCTCTGAGAGTCTCTGTGTGAGTCTCTGTGTGAGTCTCTGTGTGAGAGTCTCTGAGTCTCTGTGTGAGAGTCTCTGTGTGAGAGTCTCTGAGTCTCTGTGTGAGTCTGAGTCTCTGTGTGAGGGTCTCTGTGTGAGAGTCTCTGTGTGTGAGTCTGTGTGAGAATCTCTGAGTCTCTGTGTGAGAGTCTCTGTGTGTGAGTCTCTGTGTGTGAGTATCTGTGTGAGAGTCTCTGAGTCTCTGTGTGAGAGTCTCTGAGTCTCTGTGTGAGAGTCTCTGAGTCTCTGTGTGAGAGTCTCTGTGTGAGTCTGTGTGAGTCTGTGTGAGAGTCTCTGTGTGAGAGTCTCTGAGTCTCTATGTGAATCTCTGTGTGAGTCTGTGTGAGAGTCTCTGTGTGAGTCTCTGTGTGAGAGTCTCTGTGTGAGAGTCTTTGTGTGAGAGTCTCTGTGTGTGAGTCTGTGTGTGAGTCTCTGTGTCAGAGTCTCTGTGTGAGAGTCTCTGAGTCTCTGTGTGAGAGTCTCTGTGTGAGGGTCTCTGAGTCTATGTGTGAGAGTCTCTGTGTGAGTGTCTCTGAGTCTCTGTGTGAGAGTCTCTGAGTCTGTGTGAGTCTCTGAGTCTCTGTGTGTGAGTCTCTGTGTGAGAGTCTCTGTGTGAGGGTCTCTGAGTCTATGTGTGAGTGTCTCTGTGTGAGTGTCTCTGAGTCTCTGTGTGAGAGTCTCTGAGTCTCTGTGTGAGTCTCTGTGTGAGAGTCTCTGTGTGAGAGTCTCTGAGTCTCTGTGTGAGTCTCTGTGTGAGTCTCTGTGTGAGAGTCTCTGTGTGAGAGTCTCTGAGTCTCTGTGTGAGTGTCTCTGTGTGAGTGTCTCTGAGTCTCTGTGTGAGAGTCTCTGAGTCTCTGTGTGAGTCTCTGTGTGAGAGTCTCTGTGTGAGAGTCTCTGAGTCTCTGTGTGAGTCTCTGTGTGAGTCTCTGTGTGAGAGTCTCTGTGTGAGAGTCTCTGAGTCTCTGTGTGAGTCTCTGAGTCTCTGTGTGAGAGTCTCTGTGTGAGGGTCTCTGAGTCTATGTGTGAGTGTCTCTGTGTGAGTGTCTCTGAGTCTCTGTGTGAGTCTCTGAGTCTCTGTGTGAGTCTCTGTGTGAGAGTCTCTGTGTGAGAGTCTCTGAGTCTCTGTGTGAGTCTCTGTGTGAGTCTCTGTGTGAGAGTCTCTGAGTCTCTGTGTGAGTGTCTCTGTGTGAGTGTCTCTGAGTCTCTGTGTGAGAGTCTCTGAGTCTCTGTGTGAGTCTCTGTGTGAGAGTCTCTGTGTGAGTCTCTGTGTGAGTCTCTGTGTGAGAGTCTCTGAGTCTCTGTGTGAGAGTCTCTGTGTGAGAGTCTCTGAGTCTCTGTGTGAGTCTGAGTCTCTGTGTGAGGGTCTCTGTGTGAGAGTCTCTGTGTGAGTCTCTGTGTGAGAGTCTCTGTGTGTGAGTCTCTGTGTGAGAGTCTCTGAGTCTCTGTGTGAGAGTCTCTGAGTCTCTGTGTGAGAGTCTCTGTGTGAGTCTGTGTGAGTCTGTGTGAGAGTCTCTGTGTGAGAGTCTCTGAGTCTCTATGTGAATCTCTGTGTGAGTCTGTGTGAGAGTCTCTGTGTGAGTCTCTGTGTGAGAGTCTCTGTGTGAGAGTCTTTGTGTGAGAGTCTCTGTGTGTGAGTCTGTGTGTGAGTCTCTGTGTCAGAGTCTCTGTGTGAGAGTCTCTGAGTCTCTGTGTGAGAGTCTCTGTGTGAGAGTCTCTGTGTGAGGGTCTCTGAGTCTATGTGTGAGTGTCTCTGTGTGAGTGTCTCTGAGTCTCTGTGTGAGAGTCTCTGAGTCTCTGTGTGAGTCTCTGTATGATGAGTCTCTGTATGATGTGAGTCTCTCTGAGTCTCTGTGTGAGTCTCTGTATGATGAGTCTCTGTATGATGAGTCTCTGTGTGAGAGTCTCTGAGTCTCTGTGTGAGTCTCTGAGTCTCTGTGTGTGAGTCTCTGTGTGAGAGTCTCTGTGTGAGAGTCTCTGAGTCTCTGTGTGAGTCTCTGTGTGAGTCTCTGTGTGAGAGTCTCTGTGTGAGAGTCTCTGAGTCTCTGTGTGAGTGTCTCTGTGTGAGTGTCTCTGAGTCTCTGTGTGAGAGTCTCTGAGTCTCTGTGTGAGTCTCTGTGTGAGAGTCTCTGTGTGAGAGTCTCTGAGTCTCTGTGTGAGTCTCTGTGTGAGAGTCTCTGTGTGAGAGTCTCTGAGTCTCTGTGTGAGTCTCTGAGTCTCTGTGTGTGAGTCTCTGTGTGAGAGTCTCTGTGTGAGGGTCTCTGAGTCTATGTGTGAGTGTCTCTGTGTGAGTGTCTCTGAGTCTCTGTGTGAGAGTCTCTGAGTCTCTGTGTGAGTCTCTGTGTGAGAGTCTCTGAGTCTCTGTGTGAGTCTCTGAGTCTCTGTGTGTGAGTCTCTGTGTGAGAGTCTCTGAGTCTCTGTGTGAGTGTCTCTGTGTGAGAGTCTCTGTGTGAGTCTCTGAGTCTCTGTGTGTGAGTCTCTGTGTGAGAGTCTCTGAGTCTCTGTGTGAGTGTCTCTGTGTGAGTGTCTCTGAGTCTCTGTGTGAGAGTCTCTGAGTCTCTGTGTGAGTCTCTGTATGATGAGTCTCTGTATGTTGTGAGTCTCTCTGAGTCTCTGTGTGAGTCTCTGTATGATGAGTCTCTGTATGATGAGTCTCTGTATGATGAGTCTCTGAGTCTCTGTGTGAGTCTCTGAGTCTCTGTGTGTGAGTCTCTGTGTGAGAGTCTCTGAGTCTCTGTGTGAGTGTCTCTGAGTCTCTGTGTGAGAGTCTCTGAGTCTCTGTGTGAGTCTCTGTGTGAGAGTCTCTGAGTCTCTGTGTGAGTCTCTGAGTCTCTGTGTG